ACGCTGGCAATGCATAGCCAATTGGAAGTGCACTTGACAAACAGTTTGACAAGCGCTGGCGCTGTACTGCTTAGCTTTAATTGCGCTGGGTGGCATCTGCATGTTTGGGTTAATTAAAGTAGTTGCTGTTTATTTATATCAGCAGGGAATCGCATTTTGCACACGCTATTTAACAGGAAATTTTATTTCCCATTTTTGTTGTTGTTGGTATTTTACATACATGTTTGTGTGTGTGTGTGTGTGTGCATAAAACGAATCGCAGGGCCAAGAACTTGACGCACGTCTTTCACTTGAATTTTGTTTGTTTGGATTTTGGGTTTATTTATGCGGCTGGCAGGCACCGTGGAATGATTTATGAACATGCATACATATGTATGCATGTATGTATGTTATTTATACACACGTGTGTGTATGTGTGCTCGTGTTGATTTCTGTTTTTTTATTTTCAATTTTCAACTGTAATTTATTAACTGTATTTTATGCTCTTCAAATTAAGAGAGTTTAACGAGCCCTCCCCAAGTGGATATCAGTTTACAGGGTATACTTTGGGTCGAGTGCATCACTCCAATGCGCGCTCTCATTTAACTGTTATTTCTGTTTAGCAGCCTCTTCAAAAGTGCCGTTACAGTCGCTTGCTGCAATTGTGCCTCCTCTTCTGCCACTGTTTAAACACACATACATACATACATACATACATATTGCCATTTAAATTGATTAATGTGCGCCGGCAAATTAACTAGTCAGAAATGCTTTATGTTTTATGGCGCGCTGCCGTTTGTTGCAAATGACAAAGACGCCCTTATAGGATATGCCGGATGCCTTCTCTAAACTAACTCGCATCCAGCGATTGTCGTCGCCAACTGTTAGCATGGCACTGTTAATTTAATTATGCCCCCCGTCTCTCCCTTTAAACAGCGAATGGGCAATGGAAATGCGAACGGGAACGTGTACGTGAACGGGTAACGGGTATGGGAAGGGAAACGGGAATTGCGGGAATGCTTAATGGGATCGTAAATGCGACACGCCGATAAAGGAAGTCTATTGTTTTGTGATCTGTGGAACACATGTTCATAACTGTATCATGGATTCTGGTTTGGGTCCGTGTCAGCTCGCTTTTTTTTTTTGTAGATTTTAATTTCATGCAACATTTAACGGCGCCGTTCTAACTAATTTTGTTGTTGTTATTTTTATTTGTTTAGGGCATGCGCCAGTACAGCTATGCCTTGAACACAAAAGCGCGCCACTATAAGGATCTCAGCATACTGGCCAAGGAGCCGGCATTTCGCAATGCTACCACAGTTTATCCCGTGCAGACGCCGGAGGATTTCTATCGCCTGCACGCCTACTATTCCAAGGTAAGTACTCGATGTAAATCAAATATGTATATTCGGACAAATGCCGTTAGCTTTTCGAAATGTTTTGAAGCTTTCGCAGTACAGCTACTGTACATTAACATAGAGCTGTGAACTGTTAGCTACATAGCCTGCTTTTAAATGTGTAGGAAAGGGGTAGGCAAAAATGAAAGAGCTAAAACTCAACGAAAGAACAGAAGTAGGAAAAATCCTGTTTAACAATTGTTTAACATTGAACTGTTAAGTGATTAATGTAAACGAAATTGCATTAACATTGAACTGTTAAGTGATTAATGTAAACGAAATTGCATGGACAATGAGAAAGTGTGTTAAAGGCGGATAACAGTATAATTAATATATAGCAGACCTCTAAACTAACGTAAAGTTCCATAATAAAAACAAAAATAAAAACTGAAGGAAATTACATATATAATTTATTATTATGTATTATTGTTTATCGCGATAACATTTGCAAGTCAAGATGCATAACATAACATAACTGTTAAGCACTGTTTGCAGTGACCGTTAAGAACTGTTAAAGCGTTCAAAATTGAAATGTCCGTTTCCCGTTTTGCGATTACAGCATCATCTGGAGCTGGTGCAGCAGCGCGGCTATGCGCTGGAACAGAAATCGTATCGGATTGCCAACGGTAGCATCTCCAACAAAATACTCGAAATCCGTTGGCCATTGGGCGTGCCGCCGCCCAGTGCGCCAGAGACGCGCCACGATATGCTCACATGGCAGCTGCTGAATGGAACACACAGTTTTCTGCCGAACGCCAATGCGGATCGCGCGGTGGCGCCGCTCAGCCGCATCGAGGCACTGGACTTTGCCAAGGTGCTGGACATAGCGCTGCAATATGCCGCCCAGAAGTACCCAAAGCTGCATTACCACGATCTGCACAGTGCCTATCGCAAATTCGATGCCACGCGCGGCATGGACTATCAACTGCATCTGAATCTGTACGAGGGTGCCACACCGAAGCGTCTGTTGCTCAAAAGCCTTGAGGTGGTCAAGCCATTGGGTCGGGTCGAGGTGGTGCCATCGCCCTATGTCACGGAGAGCACACGGATTGCGATCCTGGTGCCGGCATTTGAGCATCAGGTGACCGATGCGCTTGATTTTGTGGCGCAATACGAGCGCATCTGCATGGCCAACCAGGACAATACCTTTCTGCTGCTGGTGAGTGCAATCGATTGCAGACAGGGTATCAGCTAGTCGGCCACTCTACACTACTCGTACTCATATATATATATATATGTACATATGTACACTTTCAGATATTTTTGTACCGCTTCGACTCGCCCAGCAAGGGCGACGATGATCCCTTCAAGACTCTGAAGAAGTTGGCCTTGGATTTATCCACCAAATACAAGACAGATGGCTCACGCATTGCCTGGGTATCCATACGGCTGCCGGAGCAGTTGAGTGCACCAATTAAGCCAGACGATTGGCTGCTGCATGCCTCCATGTACGGAAGCCAGCAGCTGCTCAGCCTAGCCGTTGCGGATCTGGCACTGCCCAAGCTGGGACTCGAGTCGCTTGTGCTGCTGGCGCCGCCGGGCATGCTCTTTCGCACGGATTTCCTGAATCGTGTGCGCATGAACACCATCCAGGGCTTTCAGGTCTATGCGCCCATTGGCTTTCAGCTGTATCCCTGCAACTGGGCGCATTTCTGCAAGGAGTGCGACACCTGCGACATTAGCCAGAGCAGCGGCTACTTTGATCGCCAGAATCACGATGTCATCGCGTTCTACAGTCGCGACTATGTCCAGGGTAAAAAACCCCACTCCACCTTCCATCTATGCCATCAACTAATTTGGGTCTGTTTTCGTTTGCAGCGCGTAAACTTTTGGATCACCTGGGCCTGCCCATAATGCGCAGCGATCTGGACATTGAGCAGCTGCTGTTGCAGGCGCCGCAACGTCCCGCCGGCGTCGAGAGCATCCTGGACATGTTTGTTGCCGCACAGCATACGGTGCACATATTGCGCGCCGTTGAGCCACATCTGCGTTTCGGCCTGGCTGTCCGGAGTCATTTGGCGCGCGGCGGTTCGCTGCCGCCGACGCTGCCAGCGGATGGATGTGGCCGGCAGCAGTGCATCCATTTGGCGTCGCGCAAACAGATCGGAGATGCGATCATACGCTATGAGGATAAAAGTATTCTGCAAAAGTAGGGCAGCTTCAGCTGTTATACTGTTATACATTATAGAGATATCATCAGTTCCTTGCTAAACATACATATATATGTCTATATATATATATATTGCCAAGAGTGTGCGTGTGCGTGTGCGTGTGCGTGTTTATTGTGTGTGTTTGTGTGTGCGATTAGTTTTAAACAATTTTTGTTGGTTTTCTCCTTTATTTTTTTTTTTTTTTTTATTGTTTGTAAATGCCTTGCTTTAAAGTGAAACTTTTAATGCTCAAAATGGTAGACAAGAATTGTTATATAATTAGTTCTCAAACGGGGGAACGGGGGCTTTATTGCGTTTGGGTGGGTATCTGAGGGGGTGAAAGGGGGGGAGGGGACTTGTAGCTGCCAACTAGCTTGCTTAAGCTTAAGCATATACTATACATATATAAATTATTAGCTATATCGAAAGTAGTCTGTAAGTTGCCTAGCAAGTGTGTTGTATAACAGTTGTATAACAGTCAAACAACAGCCAACTAATTAGCCAATATTCCAGGTCCAACGTAGCTTGTCATTAGCCGCTCTCATTTAGCCAATATATATATAAATATATATATATGTATATATATATATTCATATCTATATAAATAATTTATTAATCTGTAAACATAAGCATGTAATTATAACTTGCCGCAAATTCCTATATAAACTATTATATTTAGTGCATGGCTATGTGTTATACTGTGTTTGTATATATACACACACACACACACATATATATATAAATATATATTTAATATTGTATATCACTTAGTTTAACAAGTGGCTGTTAAAGTAAATTCCAATCTGAACTGCAAATATGCCGGCTTTGCCAAAATGAATGTGGCCAAAATCTTGCCTCACCTCAACTGTGCAACTGTTATGATCGTGCAACATTTGTAAACATTTTGCAGTTTCTAGTATTTAGGCAAATATTGTAAACTGTTATAAATATGACACTATTCCAAAAAGCACGCATATCTATGAATATACTATTGTCTACTTGTTAACTGTTATATTGAGTTCAACACGAGCGCTGTTATACAATTATTTATAAATATATAAAAGAATATAGTAAACGCTGTCAGACAAGTATCGCAAAAATGTATTGAGAACTGTTATATCAATTATTAGCCAGCGTGGAGATTATATTATTCGCTACGATTTCTGTTATACAATTTCTAACTGTTATACTGTTGAGTTCAGCTCTACTTGATATAAAAACAATAGCTGTTATAAAAAAATTTAAGCAACAATTACTGTTATACATGTAACAACTGTTATACAAATGCCAAGATCTAGTACACTTGATACGTTACAATTCCTGCTGAAATCCATACGAAAACGCATGCTATTGTCACTGTTATACAAGTGCCAACTGTTATACAAAACAAGAAATATATAGTATTTAGAGTTCGAATAAGTAGCCTGCCAGTTATTTGTTTCAATATGAACACCATTTTGTACCGCATTTTGCATTTCGTTTGGCATATCATTAATTGCGTCAAGAACTTTTATTAAAGCTAAAATAAGGGCGTGAAAAATGAAATAAAACTACACTACATTTTTATATATATATACGCATTAATCAAGTTTAAGAAACGCTCTGAAAATTTGTAATTGCTGCGTTTTCGAGAATTAATTCTAAGAGATTTACTGTCAATCGAACAGGTGAGATTAATTTCAGTCTAGCTGAACTTATTTAACCTGACTTTCAATATTACAAGTTTCTACTATGTATGATAATAACTAATTGGCCATCGTTTCCGTCTTCATAGAAGTCGTAAGCGTCAATCTTAGGCAATTTTTATTACCTTGTTCAAACTTTGATTTGACTTGGACAAACGAACGTATCTTCAGGTTGTCTATTCTAGCTGATGTATATATAGGGAACATAACACTATATTGCATATTGTAAGATGTTTAATCATAGTTTTAACCATGATAGAGCCAATGCCCATAAGATTGATCCATCCCGAACATGCCGATGTATATACATGTATGTATATATATATATATAATTGTTGTATAAAACAATGCTTAAATGTTGCACAATATTTCGTATTACTATATATATATAGATCAGTCTCAGGGCTGCAGCAGGAAACTAAGATCAGACTGAGGAGCATACTCGACAGCAGAGCCATCCCTGTGGAAGGAACATGGATCAATATGAAAATGTGCATCAGGCATATGCATTAATCAGAACTTACGGCTTGAAGAGCTTCGCATTGCGTTCGCCTAGGAGCGTTGCCTGATCGCCCTGGACGCGCACACTGGTGCCCTCGCGCAGCCCCAGCACAGGCCGTTCATGATAGCTGATAAACTCGGAGATGCGTTCGTCGCGCGTCTCACCCTTGTGCTGGCTATTCGCCTCCGTTTCCAGGTAGTGCGGATTGATGTTGAACGGCACCAGGGCCAGCGCCTCAAAGCTGGGCGGCTGCAGCACGGGCATATCGTTGGTGGTGTGTATGGAGCGTGTGGCCACATTAGTGCCGGCACTGCTGCCCACATAGGTGAGGCCCTGCTGCAGCACCAGTTCGCGTATCAGCTCCACCAGCTGCAGATCGTACAGCTGCTTCAGCAGCACAAACGTATTGCCGCCGCCCACAAAGATGGCCTGTGCCTCGCGCAGCGCCCGTCCCAGATCCGTTTTCGTGTGCAGCCCCTCAACAGCATAGCCCCACGGCTGCAGTGCATCGCGCACCGTTGCCGTGTACTTGTCATGATCCCGCTGGGCATACGGCACAAAGAGCACCGTTTTCACGTTCTTGCTGAAAAGGAAGCGCCTGCAATAGCATATCAGCAATGCAAATGCAAATGCAAGACTTACGCCTGAAACAGATCCTCCAGCTGGGCGCGTGCATGCTCCAAAAAGCCATGTCCATGCAGGCGCGACGATGAGAGCAACAACAAATTACGCGTTCCGCTGTTCATATTTGTGTCGATTTAATTACCTTCAAATGTTGCCCAGGTGAGTTTTCTTTTCTTACTTTCAATATGAAATGCCAACTATTCGCTGCAACTCTGCTCAGTTACTGAGTAGTTTATCGTTTCTTTCACAAGTACATTTATGGCTGCAGATAACGGCATGCAATAAAAGTCAACGCAAATGCCCTCCTCTTGCACGCCCCGCTCCACCGTTGAAAAGCAACAAAGAACCGTGCCGAGTATCGATATATTCGACTGTTGAGCTCGTCAGTGTTATCGGTAACTTTAAATGGTTTGCATTTAATTATGTACTCAATTATGTCAAATGTCGTTGTCGAAAATGAGCTGTTCGTTTAAAACCAATTGAAATGGACACAAACTCCAATGTATTTCAACGGGATTTAGCCACGGTGGCTTCAACAATATATCGATTGCTATCGATCGCGTGCGCGATACTTTTCAACGACTCACAGACTACATAACAGTAGCCGTTATATTTGAATATTTTTGCCAATGGATTAGCCATAAATCTATATATTGTGCTCCGATTGCGCAAAAGTGGGTGATTATTAAAAAGCAGCTTTTTTTCGGGCAGCTATTTTATAGTTTTATTCAATACGTTTTTTTTTTTTTTTTTGTTTTAATTTAAGAACTTTACAAGCCACAGTGGAAACGATTTTCTATGCATTTGCAATTAACATGCTTGCAATTTATTCTGTTCAATTATTTTGCTTAAAATGAATTATGTATGTAAACGTATGTATGTATGTATATATCTATGTAATTGACAGCCGTGTCTCAATCCAAGTAATAATTGACACCCACGCACGCACACACACACGCACACACACACACACTTGAATAATTGAAAAATGTTAAGTTTTGACAACAAATTGATTGTTGTTGCGCTTCGTACACATTGTACAATACATACACACGTTACGTATTTGTGTTTTATGTATAAGTATATAGGCAGACATATGTGTATTGTATGTATATGTATGTATGTATGCATATGTATATATTAGTAAAGCATTTCTTTTCGATTTAGTTTAGAATTGAATTCTAGTTAGACCCAATGGGACTTATCAAATATTACAAATATTATAACTATAACATTTTCTTTTAGTTTTCTCCTACTCCATTTTTTTTTTTTGCTTTTGCTTCATTTTACAGTGAGTTTATATTAAGGTATATGCGTATAAGTTAATTATAAGAGAGAGAGAGAGAGAGAGAGAAAAAAAAAACATAATTCAACAAATAATTACATACAACATTAATTAGCTATTTCACGTATATTTGTTAACAATTTACATAATTTGCTTGGCGATTTCTGATGCGTTTTTTTTTTTGGTTTTTTTTTTTTTTTTTTTATATTTTTGTGGCATGTTGCACGTGGCACGCTGCAGTAGATACAGTAAGTGGATTCTTGTGTTATATATGTAGATCTAGAAGTTTAACATAGTACAGTTTGACAGCAACTGGCTGGGCTGCCCAGGCTGAGGCACAGTTTGGTTTTTGTTTCTATAGACTTTTGCTTATTGCGAATCGCATTTAATTTTATTTCATTTCATTTTCACTTGAGCGCCGCAAATGCGAAAAATTACCTTGCAGTATATATATATATATATGTATATATATATATAATAGAGTAGATTGTATGTATGTATGCGTGATTGATTTGATTTCGTACTTAACCTAACAATTTGTTTCTCTTGCAGTTCTCTTGCTCCACATACATACATACACACACACACACACACACATGCACAGTGGAAGAAAGAGACACACACACACGCGCGCATGCACACGCACACGCACACACATACAAAAATGCATGTAGAAGACGGCGGCAATTTACAGTTGTTTTGTTTGTTTCTCATTGAATCCGTACACAAAACGTTGATCATCGTATTTGGCTCCTACTGCGATGGCTGCTCATCGGGCAGATCCAATATCCTGGCAACAAACTCGGAGATGTCCGTATTGCGCTGTAAATGCTCCACAATGAATCCGTGCCGCAGCAGCTGCTCGTAGTTGGGTCGCGCCGTGTACTCCTTCTTCAGGCATGTCGCTATGAAGTCCTCGAACTCGGCGGAGAATGAGCCCGCCGGCAGCCTGGGCGGATCATCCTCAACCACCTAAAGCATAAGCAAATGGGTCAGTTCCGTCCAATGGCTGGTGGGAAACTCTGGTGCTCTGTGCTCACCTGACGCAGCTGCTCGAAGGGCGTTCGCCATTTATTATAGGGATACTGGCCGGTGGCCATTTCAATCATGCTGATGCCCAGCGACCAGACATCGGAGCGTATATCATATTGGGCTGGGTTACCTTGCGGATCGATTCGTTCCGGCGCCATATAAGGCTTGCAGCCGGCATCTATGGTCTTGGCCACGGAATCAACTAGATAGCCTGCAGGAGGAGACGATGGAAAATGCGTGAAAACGATTTCGATTTAATTCGAGTTCCAGTTCCAGTTCCAGTTCCCATTTCATTTCCATATATTCAAGTGAACGAAACGGAATGGAACAGTTGCAATCAAAATTTTTTCATATAATCGAAAGCGAAACGGAACGAAATGAAATGGAACGGAATGCACAGTCGATGCTAATATTGAGGTTATGTACAGTTAACAGCGCTCACCTGAGATGCCAAAATCGCATATTTTCACCTGACCACCACGATTGATCAGTATATTTGATGGCTTTACATCACGATGTATGACCTTCAGCTGGGCGTGCAGATAATGCAACGCACTGACCACGCTCATCGCAATCTGTCACAATAGTTTAACAATTGGATATGGATCAATTATAATTGAATATATTATGGATCGGATCGCTCACTTTGCCGAGCACCGGCTCCTCCATGGTTAGCTGATTTTTGAAAACCTTCGGATAGAATTTGTCCAGGCTGGTGTTCATCACCTCCATGCATATCCAGACATCGCCCTCGCGATACATGGCGCCATAGAAATGGACCGTATAGGGGCAATCGCTGGAACGCATCGATATGTCCAGATCCATAATCAGGCGTTGCTGTTCCCGGAAATTAACAGTCATTGGGATGCGCTTGACGGCGAGCACTGTGCCCGTCTGGCGATGCCGCATCTTCTCCACAATGCCGTAGGCGCCGCGTCCCAAATCGCAGATCTTCTCCAGGCTGTCGGCATCGATGTCAAATGTTTGTTCGCCAATTTGTATGGTTGCCCGTGAGTCCAGGTTACGCGGCGGCACGCTGTTAACACAATTAACAGAATGTTAAAGACTGCTCTTTATGCTGGCATGACACTTGCTGGCTGTTCGTTTTGCTATTGCCATTGGTTGGAGCGAGACAACAGCATTAACATGGCATAGGGTAAGTTGTAAGTGTGTCTCTGTTATTTCTATATATACATTTCGGACAGTTTCCCACGACAGACCTTTTCCCAACAATAATTGAACTCAACGATTAGTAAGATAAATGTTTAATGATTTAGCTAAGGATTAGCTAGCTATTGCTGCAATTGGTTACTTAGGGTATACAATATTCGGCATGCCAAACATAGCTGTGTGTGGTTTTTTTGTCGTTCATCGAACCAGTTCAAACTATAAGACATTCACACACACACACACACACGACAACAAAACGCTTTCGCCCAAAAATGTTATAACAGATTGTTTTGCGCACTCTTCGCACACTTTAGCTAGCTTCTGTGCACTCACTCATTCACACACACACACACACACACACACGCACGCACGCGCACAGGCTGAAGGCAGAAGCAAAACGAACAAGTGTCATAATGTCATAACCCCAATGCACTTACAATGCCGGTTCCGGCTCACGCGAAATGCCAATGGGTGTGAGGCGCGGACGTGGTCGTGACATTGCGGCGCTGCGCTCTGTAGTTTAAATACGTGTATGTGTATGTGTATGTGTATATGTATATGTATATGTATATGTATATGTATGGGTAGGTGGGTGTATATGCGTGTGCGTCTTTGGCGGCCTGCACTTGCACTTCTTTAACTCTTCAAGCGTTTTGCGCTGCACGTTTCGCCTGGTAACTGAAATGATTTGCTCCACTTTTAGTTGGGGCCGCTATTAGATACGTTTATTGCTGCTGCTGCTGCTGCTGTTGTGTGGGTTTTTTCTTTTTTTTTTGAGTCGGCGTCGACAAAAACAACAACGACGGCGACGGCGACGTCGATGGAGCGGCGACGGCGGCGGCGGCTGCTGCTCTTGCTATTTTTACCACATTTGGTCAAATCGTGTTGTGGATATGTATGCCTGCTGCGCATTCGATTGTGCGAATCAGAGACAAAAAAAAAAAATGCTGTCGAAATGCCGCGCTCTTTACGATTCTGGCGGTTTTTGGGCTTTACTTTTCTTTGATATCTTCTTTTCTTTTTTCACCCAACACACTCGCGCACAACTCGTCCTCGTTGAAAACAATACAGTGGGATAATCGCAGTGTTGCCAACTCAGCCGTTTCCTGCTCGTTTTTTAATCACACATAATATGCTAGTATTTTCTGTGGTCACACTGGCTAGCGTTTGTCCTTGAGCAGATAAATTCTTGATATGATTGTGGCAAAATATCAATTGATTGCCAATAAGCTTAGTATTGAAAATATGTGCATTATTTTTGTGCTTTTTATTTTGTTCAATATACAAAGCGTACACGAGCAAAGCGTAGCACACAAAAACATAACAGTTTTACCACAAAAATGAACCATATATCGATATATTCACAATTCATCGATGCCAGCTGGTTAATGGCTCAGTGTATTTACGTACTAGCGCCGGATGGTCACACTGTGCACACTATCTTCTTGTTGGTGGTGGACTATTTCACATTGTTTTATAGGATGTGCATTGCGAACTAGCCAGCAAATACAGCAAAGTTAAAGTGTAATGCAAATGTGCAAGTGTTCGCGCCAGCCAGCAACAATTATAAGCATACACCGAAGTAACGCGCGAGTGCAAAGCGAACGCCTACAAGAATAACGAGTGCTGCATCTCAAAAAAAAAAAAAAAAAAAAGGAAAAGAATCGCGAGCTGTATTTGTTGTTGTTGTGCTGTGTGCTGGGTGCGTGCGTGCGTTTGTTCGTTTATTCGTTTGTTCGTGCGTGTGTGCGTGCGTGCGTGCGTCTGTGTCGCTTGTCGTTTCTGTTTTTATTTGGTTTTTTGTACTTTTTTTTTTATTTTTTTGTTGGTTTTTTTTTTGTTTAAATTTGTTGTTGTGCGGCCTCTGTAAGTGAAAAGTACATGCGCACGCATACAAGTGCATAAGAAATAGTAAAAGACACACACACGCACGCTGTGTGTGTGTGTGCGCGCGCGAGTGTAAGTGTGAGTGTGTGCATGTGTGTGTGGCGGCAGCAGCGCCAACTGCAGCCATAAATACACAACGCCAGGAAAATCGAATTTGAAACAAAAACAACTGAACGAAGCAGCAGCCAAAAGGGGAAGAAGAACACAACAACAAACACAACAACAGCTGCAACAATGTCCAGCACAATTGAATTTGAGACAATTGGCAGTCGCCTGCAATCGCTGGAGGTTGCGCTGCAGGCGCAAAACGAATCACATGAACAAATCGTCTTATCGAATGCGCGCGACGCCGTCGCGCGTGTCTGGCCCACAACAATAACGGCACCACCAGCAGCAGCAGCGACAACAACAACAACAACAGCAGCAGCAGCAGCGGCAACAACACCAAATGCTGCAGCGGCCGTTAGCGCCGCCGCAGCAGCTGCTGCAGCAGCAGCAGCAGTAGATGCAGCAGCAGCGGCAACAGCAGCTGCAAGTGTCGCTGCCGCCGCCGCTGCCGCCAATAATGCCGCCTCACCCACTAGACCAGCCGCAGTTGGTGCGCTGCCGGCGCCAACGTCGCTGTCGTCGGGCATCTTTGCTGGCGGGGGATTTGCCCCGCCCATTAGGAATACGCGCACAACGCCGAGTTTGCCCATACGTAAGTAAAAATACTGTTAAAAACCAAATACAAATGCCGTTGTGTGTGTGTGTGTGTGTGCTGATAAGAAATTGGCGTTTCGATAGATACGATAAAGGCTCGTTTACACACACACACACACGCACACATTTGCATGCAATGCCCTTAACAAAGGGCCCACGTTATCGATCTCTGCGTTTCGATTGCATAGATAAGCGCACGCTGCGAGCAAAACAAACCAAAAACAACAAACTTGTTTTCGCCAATTGCAGTCCGCAGCATCAATACATGCAAACGCTAGCGAGCGTCGCTGCTTTCGCTGCTTTCGCTGCTGCTGCATGCGTTTGTTCTTATGTGCGTTGTTCTCTTATTCGCATTGTGTTTTCCTATTGGATTTACGTACGCGTATTTGACAATCCTTTTGGGGCGTCATGGGTAAATGTTATCGATAAATCGAAGTTGCATATTGCCAATTAGAAATAATTGCAGATATTGGTGTTTTTTTTTTTTTTTTGAATATAAAATATATATAGGGAGAACATAGTTTTGACCATTCCCATTGGCCGCTCGTATCGGATTCCAATTGGAGTGTCACTTCTAGGAAATCTTGCATTAATTGCAAGCTCATTTGCATGTGCTTCCAATAGCTTTTTCGTAAACAACTCCAATTGGACGACCATTGAATGCTGTGCACACGTGAGTCTCGCTGCGAATTAACGGCACATGCACTTGCATGCACTCTTTTCCCCTCTCCACGCGCTTCGCTATTTTGTGCGTTTCTATGTGTGCATGTAATTTTTTTTTTGTCTGTCTGCGTGTCGCCGCTTTCATTTGGCATGTTTGTTGGCATTTTTGTTGTTGTTGTTGTTGTTGTTTTTTTTTTTTTTTTGGCATTTCCGGAGTAATGTCTTGATATGCGTACTTCGCCGCCGACGCCGCAGTCGCCGTCGCCGTCGTCGTCGCCTCTGTTTGAATTGTTGTTTGTTTTTTTATTCGCTTTTGGTTTCGCGTTTCTTCACCCGCACACAGACGCAGACACAAGCACACGCACACCACGGCGACGGCGACGGCGAAGGCAACGGTAAAGGCGCGGGCGAGGGAGACGGCGAGGGAGACAGCGTGACTCGCGTGAGTTTTGCGGCGATGGCGACGAAATTTGTCTTCGTCTTGCGTTTTATTTATTTAACGCTTACAATAACAATAATAATAATAGTCATAATAATATTAACAATAACAGCTCACAGTTCGTGGTCAATGTAATGCACAGTGGGACAAGCTCGATTTGTTTTGTGCTTCATTTGACACATTCACAAAAAACGTTTGCAGTTCTTCCGATCAGAGTACATATCTAATATATTCAATCAATTGATCAAATAGTAAATACCCTGTGCGGCACTTGCGAAAACAATTCACATAAATAACGTGATGTAACAGTTAATTACAGTTAGTTACAGTTAGTTGCTTGCAATTCCCAACATGTTTAAGCATTGAAAATTAATGCTAAAAAGGTCGCACTAAAGTTTTATAATCATATGTGAGTCTATATAGTAAATTTGATGTTCGCTCCACTCGTTTGATCAAGAATATATATGTATACTATATGAAGGTACAGCTGCCCTTTTCTACACTTTCCATGGGTGCAGGTTAAAAAAAAAAAACATTTGCCGACCTTAGTAGAGCTCGATTATTGGGCTAGCGATTGCCAACAATGAAAATCCAGGAAATTGTTAGCATTGACCTTGACTAGAGAATGCATCCGATGCAAATGTAGTTTGTGCCAATGTGCATGGTATTTCTATGCACACACACACACACACACACACGCACACACGCACACACACATGGTCGCTTTGTTTGACTAACGGTTATTAGAGACGAAAACAAATTGTTGAGTGGCAATATTTATTATTATTTATCCGCGCATTGCTGAAACTTGAGCCTTATCAACCCACATTCATATGAATTTCGCCCTGTCTATCTCTCTCTCTCTCACTCTGTCTCTCTCTCTCTGGCCCTCTCTCTTGCTCTTTCTCTAGGTGATTCTGGCACGACTCGAACGCGCCGCATGATGCTGCCGCTGCCAACACAAGCGCATCCCTCGGAAACGGAAACGGACAAGAAACTGAAGATGATAATGGGCCAAACGGGCAAACTGAACATTAATGGGCGACAGTATCCGACAGATATTCACGATCTGCAGCATCTGGGTGATCTGGGCAACGGGACGAGCGGCAATGTGGTCAAAATGCTGCACGTTTCCAGCAACACAGTCATTGCGGTCAAACAGATGCGTCGCACCGGCAACGCCGAGGAGAATAAACGCATTCTAATGGATCTGGATGTGGTGCTCAAATCGCACGACTGCAAATATATTGTCAAGTGTTTGGGCTGCTTTGTCCGTGATCCGGATGTGTGGATCTGCATGGAGCTAATGTCCATGTGCTTTGATAAACTCCTCAAGCTGTCCAAGAAGCCGGTGCCGGAGCCCATACTCGGCAAGGTCACGGTGGCGGTAAGTCAATCGGCTTTTCACTCCACGCAATAGATAGATAAATAGACGGACAGGAAATAGATAGATAGGCTGAGATAGATAATTAGATAAACAGAGAGACATACTAAAAAGGAGCTATATATAAGATAGATAGTCGGAGATATTAGATAGAAAGATAGATAAAGTAAAAAGATTGATTAGATTAGATAGTAGAAAGATAGACATATAAGATATAAAGATAGATAGATAGACAGATAGACAGAAAAGAAATGGATAGACAGATATGTGTGATAGATATAGAGATATATTAGGTAGATAGATTGAGATATAAGATAGATCGATACAAATATTAGATAAATCGATACAGATATTAGATAGATCGATACAGATATTAGATAGATAGTAGGCGATATTATATTGAAAGATATGATATATGAAAGAGGTATTAGATAGATAGATAGACAGCTTGAGATATTGGATGGATATATAGAATTAAAAAGAGAGAAACAATAAATCTAGTGTTGACAAACCGCAGCATTAACTAATTAATGCACAGTGTTGAGTAACGAGCTGTTCCTTATCTCATATAACTATGCAACACTGTTTTTGTATGTTCCCCAATTCGAACTTGACTCACGCTAACTTTGTATTACAAAAAAAGAAAGCTGTCGAGAAGGTACGAACAAATACCCTTTGCGAGAAGAATCCTGAGGTTTGTTTCTTATTGCATCTATGATATTGTAGTCCGATGCTGAGAAGATATTCCTCATGTCTAGAAAATAGTATGCGAAACTAATAAATGCCGACAAGATATTGTGTTAAACAATTCGATTTTTCATACAATCAATTCGTATGCTAGCTATATGATATATTGCAACCGAAACTAGATTATATAGCTTGCAGATAATGACCAGGAATACCTTAAACTGCATTGCCAGTGTTAGTTAATAGCACGAGAAGTACGTTTTTCAACACTGATTTAAATAAAGCTTTTAACTTGCAAATGTGCACATATTTGAAACTGATTTAATGCCCAGTTAGGCGATACATTAGGCTCATATTACTTAGTCAACTAATATTCTTCTTCTTTTTCTCCACTCTCGTGCCCTGCCCTCCCCTCGGCTGACCCTAAATCCCGCTGTGCAGACGGTGAATGCATTGTCCTATCTGAAGGACAAACACGGCGTCATCCATCGTGATGTGAAGCCGTCAAACATTTTGATCGATGAGCGCGGCAATATAAAGCTATGCGATTTTGGAATTAGCGGCCGTCTGGTGGACTCCAAGGCGAATACACGTTCCGCTGGCTGTGCGGCCTATATGGCGGTAAGTGCGAAGTCCAATTGAAACAAGGATAATTTAATAATTTTCTGTTTTTGCCTATTGGCAGCCGGAGCGCATTGATCCGAAGAAACCAAAGTACGATATACGCGCCGATGTCTGGTCGCTGGGCATAACGCTTGTGGAGCTGGCCACAGCACGTTCACCGTACGAGGGCTGCAATACGGACTTTGAGGTGCTCACCAAGGTGCTCGACTCGGAGCCGCCGTGTTTGCCCAGCGGCGATGGCTACAATTTCAGTCAGCAGTTTCGTGATTTTGTTATCAAGTGGTAAACGACAGGCAATTGTGTTGCCAACCAATTGCAAAGCTTGGCTTGCGATTATATGATGTGTCAATGGTTTGATTTCGTTGCAGCCTCACCAAGAACCATCAGGATCGACCCAAATATCCGGAGCTATTGGCCCAGCCATTCATCAAGAGCTACGAGCTGGCCCATGTCGATGTGCCCAATTGGTTTCAGAATGTGATCGACTGTGCTGCGGGCAAGCGACTGCGCGCCAATGGTGACTCCACATTGACGAGGTGAGTCGCCAGTTCTCTATTAAGCATTACCATCCAATACCCGAATCCATTTCCAAGCTGTACCGGCCCCCTTTTTCAAATTGATAATACCAATAATGCCGAACCCTGTGGCCCGCTGCCGCCTGCCTGTCTGATGTTGGCTGTGTGCGTGTGTGTGCGCACGCGCGCGTGTGTGTGTGTGTGTGTGTGTGTCTGTATATGGTGTGCGTGTGTGTGTGTGTGTGTGTGTGTTTGCGGGCGCCATGTACACAACAACGCTTCGTTTCTATATTTGTTTCCGTTTCCGCTTTTGTTCCATTCCGTTACGTTGCGTTTTCTTTTGATTTCTTTAGCTAACTCTGACAACAAACAAAATTTCTTAACAGGTAGGCAATAAAAAAGAAAAAACAAAAACAAAAAAAAATTCCAAAAAAAAAAAACAACAACAATAAAATACAACTAAAACCCGTACCTAATTGTAGGGTGTTTGCTGAAGTTTGTAATATTTGCTGTTCGCTAGCTTAAAAAAAACCCAAAAAACCAAAAAACTAATCAAAAAGAAAGAGAGAAAAAAAGAAAAGAAAAAGAAAAAAACTCTAGCCTAAATATAGCTAAAACGTTGGCATGTCTCTCTATTATCCATGCTCACACACTCTTCTTCTTAACTGTTTATATGATTTGTTTAATGAGTTCATTTTGGTTTTCAACTTAATTTTACAACTATTTGAAGCACAATTCTACTACATTTTTGCTACTACTATTGCTACTACTATTTTAACTACATTTACTTTCCTACTATTTTGTAACACTTATCCACCATGCTCTAAATGCACATCGTATGCACTTTATTCGGGCACTGACAGGCATTCAGTGAGTTGTTCCATTCCGTTTCGTTCCTAACCGGTGTCAGCTGTACCCATCTATACCCTAGAAATATGCAATTGATTGCATATCGTTGCAATGCTTCAATTGATGCATTGTCAGTGCCATCATTTTGTATATACCCTACCCTATATATATATATATATATATGTATATGTATATATATGGCCCCGAATTCTCTGCCAGCTCTGGTGAGTGCCAAGTCTCATGAGTATGCCACACACACACTCCCCCCCCCCCCCCCCCTCTCTCTGCCCACCGCAAAACCCTAAAATATAATTATATATATATTACATGAAGAATCAGAAAAGAAACAAAAGAATAATTCCAATTTGTTTTGCGTTTCATTGACTATTTAATTTGTGTGTTTTTTGATTTTCTTTTTTCATCTTTTTTATTACCATTTTTTGTAGGTTACTTAATTCCTAATAAATACTATTATAATAAATGCAAAAACAAAAAACCAGACAAACTGTAAAACCGATTTAAACCAAAACATAAAAAACTATAAAAAAAAAACAAAAAAAAAAAATGCGAGCAATCAACAACATATAATATATATATATATATATATATCTATATACACACATACGTATATATATATATATATATATGAATATATAATAATAATTTATATTATCCCTACCATGATATGATATACACATATATAAATGAGACAAATGCAAGAAACAATAATCAATGAAATGAAATTATAAATCAATACAATAAAACTCCTCCCAAATCAAAAGTAAAATTCAGTAAGTACTACCGAGTTTTCTTGTTATTATTATTATTATTATTATTGTTATTATTGTTATTATTGTTATTATTATTATTGTTATTATTATGTTTATACTAATGCGCGCATTGATTCATTAATGTTCCTTAATTTTTAATTACTAATTTTGTATTAACATCTTTTATGTTGTTTGCGTGTATTTAATAATTATTCTTGTTGTTATTCTGCTGCATGTTGCTTGGGGCTTGCGGCTTAACATTTTTAATTTCTCGCATTATTTCTTAGTTAATTTGCCACAAAAAAAAATATATATATATATATATATATATCAAAAAACAAACGACTTCACACATCAAACGAGGTAAATTTTTTTGCAATTTTTGATTTTCATATTTCTTTTCATATATTTTAATTTGATTTATTCTTAATTTAAGTGTTTGTTGTATGCTTCGCAATTGTGGCGTTCATTGCAATTGTTTTCGCTGCCGTTTCATTCCATTTCGTTCCGTTTCAATGCCACCACATTGCACATACCGCTTCCGTCTATATGTATGTACAAATTCCAACCTTTTATATATGTATATATATATATATATATATATATAAATATTTATATATATGTGTATATATGTTATCTGATTGTGTTTTATTTATCTTGTCTTTCGCTTGTTTCATCCCATTCGTTATCATCTCTTGCTTTTTTCGGGCACTTTTTGGTGTGTTGAGTTTTGTTTTTGATTCGGGGGCAAATTCAACACACCACATTGACGACGCTTTCCTTGTTTCGGTTTCTGCAGCGCCCTCTGGCGGCTCGAAATTGTTATACCCCTTTGATGCTGTGCGTGGGGAACATAGTGAAAAGTGATACATTCTGGCAATTATCGCATGGATTCGAAATGGTGATCGACAAAGAGAGGGGGTAGAGAGAAAAGTAGTTGATAGTTTTGGTAAGGATGAAAGTGAGGCTTCGAAAAGCGAGCGAGAAACACGGGGGGAGAGAAACGAAAAGTAGTTGATAGTGTTGAATCGATAAATATCGATAGTAAGCGTGAATCGAATTTGAGATACATATTTATATATATATATATATATGTATATATTTTATTTGGACGTCGGCATTAATTTACGCGGTTTTTATTAGTCCCTGTGCTATTCGACATAGAATTTCAAGACATTTAAGTTGCGATAACAGAGGGCGTAAGCTATCTTACAAATCGATAACTATCGAAATTAGGACTTCTGCTTCATCCTATTGGTTGCACTTATTTAGCGTGCACTCAATATCTCTCTCTCTCTCTCTCTCTCTCTATTGTTCACACTCTCTCTCTCGTTGGTATGATGCTTTCTTATTGTTCCTTGCGCTTATTCTCTCATTGAACTCATTTACCTCATATAAGATCCATGATCCAGTCGAGACATCTAAACAGTTGCCCACTCGCTCCTTACACACACACCCACACACACACATATAATCATACACGCACACACACATTCATGCCTCCTGCTCTCACTCGCTCGCGCCGCATAGCACTGATCTCTATTTCCTTCTCTCTCTCTCTCTCTCTCTCTCTCTCTCTCTTTGTGTCTGTTTCACTCTAACGCTGTCATGCTGGCGTACATTTTATGTGTGTGTGTTTTTTTTTTTGCACATAACGGGCTCAACAAGCAGCTGCAAATATTAATAAAAACTATGCGTTAATTGCAGAGCGACGACAACAACAGCAGCAGCCGCAGCAGCCGCAGCAGCCGCAGCAGCCGCAGCAGCAACACGCGCCAAGGAAGCTGCCACATTGTATGGAAGAAATGCGGCGGCATTGACAGCGCGCAGTCCAAGCAATACGCAAACGCTGAAGACAATAAAACCCACACAGATTCCAAGCTATCAACAGGCGCCGGCTACGGGTACGCAGTATTTCATGCAATCAGCCACACAACTACCTCAACAGCAACCACAGCAACAAGCAGCTGCAGCAGCAGCAACGACAACATTGAACAACTTTAGCAGCGGCGGCAGTGGCAGCAGCAGCAGCGCAAGTCCCATGTCGCCGCCAGGTGGTGGCAGCAGCAGCAGCAGCAACGACATCAACAAACTGTATCGCAAGTCGCCGTTCATGCAGCGCAAGCTGAGCAATGGCTCGCACTACAAGTACACGGATGAGAGCCCCAAAAAGGAGTCTGTATTCAGCAGCATTGGTAAGCTATGCCGGACACACGGACACGGTCAATTGTGACTGACGATTAATTTGACTGAATGTATTATACCTTATTTTGTTTTTCAGGTCAATCGATATTACGCAATTTGACGACATCGCCGTTCAGTCAAAAGAAACATCATGCGATTGTTACAGCAACAACACCAATTGCAGTAACAGCAACAACACCGATTGCAACAACAACTGCAACAACAATAATAACAACACTGCCGCATAGTAAAGCCAAAACGCCGACTGAGCTAATGACCATGCCCAAATGGCGTCTGCCAGCAGCGCAAAGAACGTTGCCGTACGACACCTGTGATAGTAGAATTGATAATTGCAGCGCCCTCGGTTCGCCCACGTTGCAGCCCAAAGGCCTGATAACAGAGCCAGCGATAGCGGCAGCAACGACAACAACCACAGCAGCAACAACAACAACAACAACAACACCAACACTGCAGCTCAACAATCAACAACAACAACAACAACGCCTGCAGCCAGGCAATCAGAGTCCCATAGGTGAGATGCTAGTCTAGGCATTACTATCTTATAAATATGTATAGAAAACAGGATTCGAACCAGCTTTCTGTCTTAAGTTACAATTTGTGGTTATATTTCGTTTGCATTATGTTCATTTTGTTTAGAATTTACTTCTGTTGAGATAATATTACTTGTCGTATAATGAAGCGAGTTTTGGCAACAGAACAGTACAAAATACGCGAGTTTGAACCGGCAACCTACATGTTGACCTTGTACATATAAAGCATATAAAGTGCATTTGTATTATTAAGTAATTATTGCCTGATGAAGCCTTCTGTCGTGGCAAAGACTTGCTTTATATTGTTAATATTTCTCCATGTTCACTTTTTGTTAGAATTTAATTAGCTGTCATTGTTAACGAATTAGCCATATGCTTACAGAGCTATTCAAATAATCTAGCTAACATGTTTATATTTTTGTTGCTCTGCTCCGTTCAAGGCATTGCTTAGCCTTATTTCAACATTATAGAGCATTTCTTTTTTGCTTTAAATTTGTCTTTAATACAAAATAATCTTATATATGTTGATGTCGTGCACGTTCACCTTGTGTCAGTGCATTTCAGACGCAACTAAAACTTTGTCGCTTCATCAAAATTTTTCTTACTCTATTTGCTTCTCGCTCTTTGCAGTGCTGCAGCGTTTCTATCATCAGCAGAATCAGCTGCGCGAAAAGGAGGCAGCCGAGCGGCAACATCACTTCCAGCAGCAACATCTGCAGCAGCAGCAGCAGCAGCAGCAGCAGCTGCAGCAGCTGCAACATCATTATCAGCCACAGCCGCAACATTATCACTTTCATCAGCCGCCGCAGACGACGCCAGCGCCAGCGCCGGCGGTGCCGCGTCCTGCGCCTGTTATTGGCACCAGCACGAATCCGTTTCACAGCAACTATGTGGCGCCATCCTCCTCGCACTCCACATCTAGTCAGTCATCGACGCAGTCGACGTGCTCGCAAATAGCCATCGGCGCAACGCCAGCATCGCCATGTGCCACAGCAGCCGGACACTTTGGCGTTGGCAATGCGACACAGTTGCAGTATCAGCCGCTGCCGCTGACGCCAACGCCCACAACAACAGCAACAACAACAGCAACAACAACAGCCACAACAACAGCAACAACAACTAGCAACAACATATTCTACAGCAGCTTGCCCTGTAGATCACCAGAGCAACTGCAGCCGGATTATGTCAGCGGTAGCGGCGACACTGGCGGAGTTGGTGGAGCATCTGTTGCTGCTGGTCTGCAGATGGGCAGCAAGCTGAGCAAATTGTATGCGCGTCGCCAGCTAATTGGCCAGACGAGCAACAACAGCAGCAGCAGCAGCAGTAATAATCTAGATGCCAGGGAGCAGCATGTGTATTCCAGCCATGCGGATGCGGGTGAGTGCCAGACATAATTCAGCTTGATTTCATTATCTTTTTATATGTTCATATTTAAGTATATATATCTATATGCATATGTAACGGTTTGTCCTGACTGACTGACTAACTGACTGATCGATGTACAGCTTAAATTTCTTTTTGATCTTGGGTTATTGGAAATTTCACCCGAAACTGTGAAAATTGCATGAAAAATGATTTTATGCAATCTCTTTTTTTTTTTTGCTTACCCATGCTTCTTGTGAAATCCACCTGTTTGAGTGAAAAAGGGGCTTGCAAATTGGTCAGATGAATTTATGAATTCAATTTCATGCACTTGGCAATTGATGTCAGACGAGTTTCACACTTTTCGTAAAATCCACCCTGCTGGGTGGAAATGGCGCATGATAATTGGGTAGTTGAATTTTCTGTTTTATTTTCATAACTTGGAAAAGTCATGCCCGACATCTTTAAATTGTGGGCTGATCGGTTTTAAACTTATTTGAAAGTTGTATGAATTTGTGTTCCTGTCTTGCTAAGACAGTTTCACCAGCAACTGTGGAAAAAGGGCGGATTGTCTGAAAAGTGGTTGTTTAAAGTTATTTTCATAAGATCTTCTTGGAAAATGCATTTAAAACGTTTTTACACGCAATGCAAATTCCCCTTTTTTTGCATATCAATTCACACGGGCGGAAAATGAGTGAAAATTTATACCAAAAAAATAAAAAAAAAAAAATTAGGTACCGGGCAAATCGTTTTTTCTTTTTCTGGAAATTTAATTTTTTGCGCTTTTTTTTTTAGTTTCTATTTTGTTGTTGTTGCATTTAGCGCTTTTTCTGTGGCTCTCGACTAATTCTTTCGCTCGCTTGTGCTCTTTATGTTTGTGTTCTTTCTCTTTGTTTACACACACACACACACACACGCGCACACACACGCGCACACACACACGCACTCTTATACGCACATACTTACATACGCACGCACAAATCATGCACGCTCGCCCGCATCACATACACGATTGCACTGCATCAATCAATCATCAATCAACAAACAAACAAACAAACAATCAATCAATCAATCAATCAACCGATCGATCAATCAGGCTGGTTCAATACAATCGCCGGCGCCATGAAGCGACAATTTGCGACCTATGTTAAAACCCAATTGAATTCCACAGCGACGCCAACGCCAATGGCAACGGCAACGCCAATGGCAACGGCAACGGCGCCCAATGTCAATGGGAATGAGCAGCTGTGCGGCTTGGAGCCGGCGCTGGCGCCACAACCACCGCCACCGGCTTATCGCAGCATTATGAACAATGGCAGCAGCGGCCATGCAACAGGCAAATCCTATTACTATCGGACGCTGTCCGCGGCGAGCAGCAGTCACAATACCAGCCAAAGCACCTCACCCACTACGGAGCCGCTGACGGGCAGCGGTGCAGCTGGCGTTGCGGCAGCCTCTGCCGCTGGCCATGTGCTAGCGACCAGCGGCTTTTTGCGACGTTATGCCAGCAGCGGCGGCGTGGCCGGCGGCGGCGGCGGCGGCGGCGGCGGCAGCAGCTGCGGTAGCCACAGTACACCGGCCAGTCCCCATTTGCTGGCCGGCCTGGATAGGCGGCATCGCAGTCCGGATCCGCCGCCGCGCTACAATCGCGGCCAGTCGCCGCTGTTGCTGCGCAAAAATCTGCTCGAGCTGAGCGGCCAGCCGCCGGGCTCACCGCTGCTGCAGCGACGGTAAGTGTGCCGCATCCGTCACAAGACTAGACTATTGCTGCCGTTCAACTAATCATCTAAACATCATTCAAATAGCTATGTCTCCGCGTCGCCGCCATTGCCGCCGCCACGTCGCGGCTCGGAGAGTGTGCCCGGCTCGCCGCAACATTTCCGGACGCGCATCCACTATACGCCCGAGCCGCAGCGACGCATCTATCGGACCATAGATCAATGAGTAGCACTGCAAATTATGGTCATGTGATGTTGGTATGGATTCGACGATGATGTGTTGGCGCCCGATGACCCGGCAGCTGCTGGCGACAGCTGCACCAACGGCGACAACAACGGCGGTCACTAGCACAACGGCAACAGCAGGCGCGGCGCACAGATGCACGCTGGACTCGAAAAGCGACGACAGCAACAACCAACAACAACCAACAACAACCAACAACCAACAACAAACAACCAACAACAACAACAGCAAACGAAAGTGTTCAAAAGTCGTATATATAACGTTTAAATTTTAGGCCGTAGCTAGGCGTTGCGTTGTCCTTTTCTAATGTTAATTCAGCTAGTTCACAAAATGTTTCTGTTTTAATTTATAACAAAAAGCAATTTTTTTTTTAAATTTAATTCTTAATTGTGTGTGTGTGCGCGCGTTTGTGTATATAGGAATTGTTTTAGGCAACAAACGAAACAACAATCAAGTTAAAATTTGTAACTGCAATATATCCAGCCATATATCCAGCATATATATACATATATATATATATATATGCATATATAGCGTATACATCTAACTGAACTAATAGCCAAAATTGAACACTGTGCCCTATATAACTATTTCAATATATATATATATATCATTATATATAGTATATGTATATAAATCAGCTTCTATTTTTTTTCTTTTTGTGTTTAAATATGCTCGTTTATAGTCGCATATTTATATTGTAAATGTATTCAGATGCTGAGACAACAATAATAGTGCAATAGTTGAATTTGTCGAGCAACATTTGATTTGAGCTTTTGACGTAGCTTTATAAGCGTTTGCTGTAAACAAATCTAAATAGTTATATCCACAAACTAAATGCAAAACAGATGTATAACAATTTGATTGGCACGGAATGCCTTTTTCATTCATATCCATAAAGACCAACACATATATACTATATATATACTTGCTATATAGCTCCGTTTATTTGTATTATTATGTATTATTTGCTTTGTTATAATAGAATTCTATAAAAAAAAAAAAAAAATCAAAACAAGTTCCTTACGAAATACTTACCACAAGAGCAGCAAAAACACAAAAGTAAAAACTCTAAATGATGAATGAATAATGAAATGTGTGAGTGAGTGTGAGTGTGTGAGTGAGTGTGTTTGTGTGTGTGAGTGTGTGTGCAGCTTAGCGACCTCAATGTTTTGTTCCTGCGCGTGCATAACAATTAAAGAATAAATTATTTGATTATAGCCCAAAAACTAAAACAAAAACAAAACAAAATTCTTTCAAGCTAATGCATAATTATAAAATTGTACATAAACTATAAAGAAAATCATAGATATATGTATATGTATATATTTATATATATATGCATGTATATACCTATATATATAGCGTGCAAAAAGGGTATGTTGCATTTGCTGTTTGAGAAAAAAAAAAGAAAAAATTAATTTCCATATACATAATTTTTTTTGGCTCTTTCTATGATTCAAAATTGAAATGGAAAGAAAATATCTGAAGAGGAAAAAGAAAAAACACCATTTATTTGTACGTTAATTTATTGAAATCAGATAAAGCGACAAGTATATGAAAAAAATAAATAAATTAATTAAATGATGTATTTCGACTGATTTATGTGTTAAAGTTAAGGCTTTTTGGACTATATACTTATGTATGTACATGGATGTGTATGTGTGTGTGCGTATGTGCATAGGTGCATATGTATGCGCATCAGACTTAGTGTCTACCTTTTAGTTTTACTATATACACATGTATATGCAGTGTATGTATATAAATATAAATATATATATATATGTATATATACGCATATAGGCACATGTATATATATGCATATATGTATAAATATTGTAAAAATTATAGAAATGATGAACGTTGCGAGCATTAAACAAAGTAAATCAACAAAAACAATTGAATGTAAACTCTTATGAATACCAATAATAATAATAATAATTATAATAATAAATGTAATAATTGAAGAACATAATTCAAAAATTCAATAAAAATGAAAATAGCTCTTAAAACCCTCAATAAAAAAAAGAAAGAAAAATATTGCAGTTTACTTTACTACTTGGCTTGGACCATTAAGATAAATACCTTGATTCTTTACTATAATTTAATTAATTTAATTTCAATATCAAACATTGTTTTTGTTGACAAATTAGTTAAGCAACTGTTTTAGTTTTAGTAGCTATATGAAACGTGTAATGCATTATATTTTTGTTTCAATTTAATTAGTTTATATTTCCACAGCTCTGAATAACAACAATTGACATTTCAAATATTTCTCTAAATTCAATTTGAGCAGATCTTAAAAACCTCAATACAAAATGGAAAGAAACCCAGCTTAGACGAGCTGTCTAAACTTAATTATTCAATGCCAAACATTTCATATGAAGCACTTACCAATCTAATTTTATCTAAGCATTTAACTAGTCAAAAGACTAATGCAACACATTTTTTGTTTCAATTCTCTTGGTCCCAATTTGTGCAGTTCTCAATAACAAGCATTCCAATGCCAACTGTTTCTCTAAATTGAATTTAGACTGAAGAGGGTTTAAATTTCAACTGTTCTCTCATTATTTTAGTCCAAATCCCATTTATGTTCCAATTCCAATTGTCTCTCAAATTCTGTCTATTAGCTTAAAAGCCTCACAAAATGGGGAAAAATATATTGATTCTGCTTGCATTTCTGTTTAAATTTCGCTCATGCCTTTGACTGTGTTCCGATTCCAATTGTTTCTTTAATTTCGTCTTTTACCTGAAACTCTACAAACAGGAAAATATTTTAATTTCAATTGATTTCTTCTTAAACTTCATGCATGCCCTTAATACTGTTCCAATTTCAAATGTTTCTGTAAAACTGTTAACTTGAAATACCGTCAAAAATTGAGCAATATTCGAATTCCAATTATGCCTTTACTTCTGTTTCAATTCAAATTGTTTCTCTACTTCTGTCTATGGCCTGGAACTCTCTTCGAATTCCAATTCGATCTATTATCTTAACTCCCTACAAATTGGCCAATATTTTAATTCCAATTCCATTTTTGTTTCAATTTCCCTCATGCGTTTGCAACTGTTTCAATTTGAATTGTTCGCGCACATTTTGCCTGCAAATGTTAATAATATAAAAAAAACACACTTGGATTGTTTTTTTTTTTTTTTGTTAAATTCAGTTTTATTTAATGTATATATATATATAGATATTTCGCAATGTGTTCCATAAATGTCATACAATTGTTTTATATCCAGCATATCATATATATTAGAATAACTTTTGGCCATAAACAGACAAAACAAATTTTGTACACCCGAAAAATGTAGCCGAAATATTGAAGTGAAATTCGAGCATCAAGCAATGGAGTTCGGGCCCATAAAGGACCGACTGCCCTAATACACATATACATATATTCATATATGTCAATATAGTAGTACATATATATATATATATTAATATGTATATATGTATGTAGGTATATTCTGTATATAGTTGGTAGCATACGAGCAAACACATACATACACACACATATATCGTAACATAGTATGAATAGATCAATTTAGATGCTGGCTTATTTGTATAGGTTGATTACACATACATCCATTGGCATATATAGCATATTGTTGTACATTCATTATATGTTAATGTAAAATTAATTATATAAATAATTAGTGTCGAAACGCAGCGTACCTGTTGCCTTGGCCCTCAGGTCGTTGCAATACATGTATGTATATAACATTCATATATGGAGTGTAATCATGTTGTATATAGTATAAAGTTGATGTACAAATGTAAAGTCGTATGAGTTTTTAATGTATGCATGTTTATGCTGTTTTAGCTGTCAATTACAATATTCAATTAATTTGATAAGAGTATTCGGTGTGCTTAACGGATATAATCTATTCGGTTTATCTTGAATTGTTATGGTATACAATTAGATGAGCTCAAAAGGAGTCACACGGCATTTAACACTGAGTTTGATTAAGTTAGGTTTTTTTTTTTTTTTGGTATTTTATATTCTTTGCTTATCTCCATCCTTAAAAATTCGGCTACTGCATGTTCTGTCCTTGTTTCCGATATATATATAGCATATATGTTCATTTAGTTTTTTCAGATAGAACATGCCAAACTTCGGCAAATCCGAAGTTGTCTTTTTCATTGTTTTCCTTTTCCTTTGACTTTATTTTTATTTGATTTGATTTTTTTTTCTGTTTTCGTTTCGTTTTTAAGATATCAAGAGTTTATATAGTATGTACTATGAGTTAAATCTTTAGATTTTTTGGTTGTAACACAGCACGGCACAAACACTTAGAAACACTTGTTGCAATTATGCAAAATATTGTTTTGTTGTATTTTTTTTTTATTTTGTTTTGTTTTGTAAATATTTTCGTCAGTTACCGTTTCTCCTTACCTTTTAAGGGGTTTTTCTTTTTTAGTATCTTAGCTAGAATTAGTATATTTGGTTTATATGTATTTTTGCCTTCAGTTTCAATAAGTTGACAACTGTTAGCACAAAAAAAAAAAAAAAAAAAAAAAAAGAAACAACAATTTTCGCCAACTTTTGTTTGGATTTTTTATCGGTTTCTTATGTTACCAATTGAAGGTTTGCTTATGTTCTATTTCACACGTTCCGTTGCTGTCTTATGAAATTCTTCGAAAATGCTATACGAATTACGGTTCGTCTAAAACTGTTTCATTTCATGTGTTTCTTCCAACAAGTAGTTCAACTTGTTTATTACACAAAAAAAAAAAAATGCCTGCTGCATGTTCCGTTTCACATGCTGTCTAGCAAAAGTTCTCGTTCCAATGTTCTATGCGAGCTGTCCCATTTGCCATGTTTCCTAGCGATAGTGTTGACTAATGTTTCGTTTTTCTATTTCAAATTTCTGTTTTATGTGTTCTTTCTTAATTTCATTTACTGTTACTTTTTTCTGTATTGATTTCAGCAAAAACACTGTTTAAAAATTGTAGTTTTTCTTCTGATTTTTTTTTTCGGTTCATCTACTGTTAATTCAACTGTTTCATTTTCAGTTTTGTATTTGAAATGTTTTGCATTTACCAGTGTTGGTTTTACTTGTTGTGAGTATAGTTCTATTTTCTGCTCTTTGTAGTTTACAACAAATTCAGCTATTATTTGGGCTGAGGTGGTTTAATTCACACACAGATTAACCTAGATATTGGATTATGTTTTATGGTTATATTCAACATTTTGCACATTTAAAGCATATTCAACGTTTCTTTCGGTGTGTATTTAAACTGGTATTTTAATTGGTATATTCTTTTGGTATGTTCTTACGGATAAGTGTTTTTAAGCATATGCCCAGCGCTGTGCTGGTATATATATATATATATGTATATATAATAAGTACGTATGTATACATATACTATATAAACATTTTGTTAGGTATGCATGTATTTAATTTTGATATACACATTTGAACCGTTAAGTGAAACCCTTTTTGAAAATGCTGCCGTTACGTTATTTCATTTGTTTTTCTTTGGTTTTCAATGTATTTGTATATATATTGTAGATCTGTATTTTTCTGTAGCTGTCAGTTATTATTGTTTAGTATGACAAATATGCGGTTAATGTATATATAGATAGCACATTTATGTAGGTGTATATATATTAAAGAAATATGCATATTGTACTTAGTATTTATGTAGTTACGACACATTCCACTCAAGATGCCAGCAACTGAAGGTTTAGCCTATATTAGGGTAATTCTGTGTAGCTTATGCATATTTAAAATATGCAGAAGCGGCATCAGTCAATAGCTGACAAATTAGTCAATATTAATGCGATAGTTTTGTTTAACCATACAAATGCGTTTATTTACATGTTCCTGGTAAATTTACCAGCCACCTTGACATGCTTGTGTTAGCTTGGTGGGGCGGCTACGCTACCAGTTGCAACAAGACACAAAAGCGGCGCCTAGTTTTAAATACCTTATAAAACTCTTCGACTTGCGTTGCCAGCTAATCGACATCTGATTTTTGGTCTGACAGGTTGACAAATTAACTGCTAGTCAACTAACATGAACATTTTAACAGGTATATACATACATATCTATATATCTATGTGTCATATATATATCAGCTGCTGGATAACTAGTAACTCTTAAGGACAGGCAATGGAATCCATAAGCGGAACATTAACACATTTTCATTTGTTTAGATGCATTTAGTATTTAACTGCTTGAGTGTTGTATTATTTTTGCATAGTTACAACGATAACTATTTGAATGCAAGTTAGTTAGTTAGTCAATTGTATTTGTTAGGTACAGCAAATGTATAATGTTTATATATGGTATAGATCTATAGCTAGCTCAGTTTTCAATATTTTCTTGTTGGTATTTTTTTTTTTGTATTATCGTAAAAAAAAAAAAAAAACAAACGCAGCCATTCAATCAGTTTGAGATGTTGTTTACAATTTGGATTTAACACTTAAATACATATACGAGTGTGTAAATGTATGTCTATGTACATAAATATTTTAAGGTATTTCTTTTCAAGGTAATGCTAGGTTTTTTTCTTTTCTTTTTTTTTTGGGTAATTTTCTTTGGTTTTTCCAAAAACTTGGTAGAGCTTACATTTTCAATAATATTGATTTAAAAAAATTTGTTTTATCATTTGTCTTAAGTCTTTGTTTTACATCAGTAAGCGTTTTTTTTTGTTTGGGTATTTCTTTTTCGGTATATTTTGGTATTTTTCGGTATTTTTTGTTTCTTGTTTCCTTTGGGGCTGTTGAGTGTTGGATTCCCAACAACGTTTACTTTGCTTACATAACATGTAAATGCCAAAAAAAAAACTCCCTTCTCCCTCTCTTCCTTCTCCCTGGCATATACTCTTACTATACATAGTTACAATAGGTTTTATGTATATGTATCTCTGTTTAAGTGTAGGTAATACTTGGTAGAAAATGATTTTTTTTTTGCTTTATTTACTTTGTTTTCCATTCAAATTTGTTTTTTTTTTTTTTTTTTTTTTTCTTTTGGTTTCTTTTGGTTTCTTGTCTTGCGGGGTGAATGTAAGAGTTAATAATGTCAGCTTCGATTTGGATGGTTCTCTTTGTTTGGCTTCTCAGGGCGCTTACCAGCGGTGGGTTAGTTGCACGCACACACAGACACACACACATACACCCACACACACACACACGCACACACAAAATACCCTTGCAGTATTGTAATTGTAGCAATCAAGTATTATTTCTTTTAATTTGGCCTGTTCATGAACAGGAAACGGTGAGAATGGAACATTAAAAACTGTTTATGTTCCTTTTTTGGACACTATGTAAGAAAAAGAAGTCCCAAAGTCCCGTAAGACCTGTATGGCATGTATATAACAATATGGTGCAGCTGCTGGCAGCTTATTTATTAAGCGGAATGCGTGAAAATGGAACACCATATTATTTGAGTTAGCCAAAAAATGTGTTACTTTATTGTTGGGTTTGAGATGAGAAGACCTTTTAAACCCAATATTAGCTAGTTATGCATTCGAACGTTGTAAGAGCTGGCTGCAGCTCATTTATTGGGTGGAATTTGTGGAAACGGAACACGATATCATGCGGATTGTTTGGAAATAACATATATCTTTGGAATATGTACAAAAGGTTGGAATTCGGTATTAAGCATTAATTTACAACAATATTGAAAGATTTATATATATATATATATTAATGAGAGCTGCAAGAGTATTGCAACTTCGGCTGGCCAAAGTTTGTCTGTTCTCTGTGCAATTTAGTTTTGAATTTAGTTTTTTGTTTTTCGTAATTGTTCTTTTCCAATTTAATAACGCCGACCGCTGCCGCTGCTGCCACTGGCACAGCCGCCGTCGCTGCTACCGCTGGCGCCGTCGGCGGCCCAACGCTTCCGCCTTGCCTCCTTGGCCGCCTGCATTTGGGCGGCAACGCGGCTGGTGCTGGGCGCCATATCAAAACTGGCGTACAGCTCCACCTCGTCATCGGTGGCGTCGCGCGGTGCCTGTTGCACCTGATTCAGTTGTTGTTGTTGCTGCAATTGTTGCTGTTGTTGTTGATGTTCGAGGGCAACGGCAACGGAGGCCATCGCATAGGCGCGCGCATCCAATTGTAGGGTTATGCCGCTCGCAACGGTGCTAGTTATGGTGCCGCCGCCGGCGGCATTGGGTGTCAACAGTCCGGCGGCGAAGTCGGGCGTGCGCGCCATTTTAGCGTTGGTTGCGGCAGTGTTTGGGGCTAGCGCCAGCGGCTGTTGATCCAAATCGAAACTCACATTCTTACTGTCTCATCCACCCCGGTGGACTTGCACGGTGGCCTCGGCGGACTCCTGCTGTCGCAACTGCTGACGGTACGCATCCAGCTCGGGCATCCGATAGGTGCCAAGATTCACCTGCACCATGAGCGTCTCCATGATCCTCTCGTTCTTCATCGATTTTGATGGCAATACAACGGTGAGCAGTTCACTGGGCGAGATGCGGCACAGATTTAGATCGCGCGTCAGTCGCTCCATGATGCACTCGAACTCGAATTGTGTGTCCTTATTGGGATGATTCTTGAGCTTGGCAACCTTGTGCTGCGCCCAGGCGAGCATCGCCTCAAATTTACGTATCTCCGGCGTTTGCAGCTCCCGGCACATAATCATTTGCACCATCGACTCGGACAGATGGAGGAATTCGGGGCATTTGAACAGCGCATGCGCCTTGCTCTCCACGAACGACAGTATCATGTTGACCAGCTCGGAGGCGGATGTGTAACGCCAGTAGTAGTTCTCCAGCGAGATCAGCATCGGGCAAACGACCTCGATGCGCAGGAACTGTTTGCAGTGATGGAAGCACGCCTGCAACAGCTCTGGCAGATCATAGTGCTCCGCGGCGCAGAGCAGACCTAAGAGAATGTCACAGAAATGTTAAAAGATATGTGTTAATAATATTAACTTTCGCTTTTCCTAATCAATTATCTATTTTCTATTTCACATGCTTCCATTTCAATTGATTTCATTCGTTTCAATGATACTTCTTTCCCTTAAATGTGTTCCATTTCCAATTGTTGCCTTGTCAACATTTTTTTTTTATTCTTACTAGAACTTTGTCAGTTTTTGCATATGCTTCATTTGAAAGTGCCCCATTTTCAACTATTCTACGCAAGAGCAATAGTATTAAAACATGCTCTGTTCTTGCAGCTGTTTCAATTCCAAGTGTTCCCCTTTCTATTTCTTTCACACGAAAGTCTATTGATTTGCTTACCTGGTATCGAGACACAGGTCAGTGGACAGGTGCCCGTGTGCAGATAGTCCAGGAGCACACGAAACGTATCCGGATCGAATTCGATAATGTTGAATTCCGTTTGGGCTAGCTTGGCCCGGTCCACCTTTTGGGCGTCGGCGCAGACGGAGAGCCGGGGCATGGCCAATTGATTGTTGCCCGGCTTGTCCTTATCCTTGTCTTTACTATCTCTGTCTGCCAGGTTTGGAAGTTGATTTTTTTTTCGGTGTTGTATGTATTTTTTTTTTGTTTTATGGAGTTTTGGTTTTTTTGGTATTCGGTTGACGTGATTTTTTTTTTTTTTTATATTTTTTTTTTTATTTGGTTGAAGGTGGTTTGTGGACGCGAAATTATTAAATTAAACGCAAATGAAAACCATCAAATAAAATTTCAATAAAATTAAATTGCGAAATTAAATAAATGCGGTCAGTTTTGCGGGCGGGAATATCGCACGGTTATTAAGAAATCAATATCCAAATAAATAGCGTTAATTGATTTTGGTGAAGCGAGAGAAAGATGGGGCGAGAGACGGATGTGGGGGGGTGAGGGTTATGGCGGTTGGGTTAGCGTGTGTGATGAAAAATGACAAAAATTTTGATTTTTGTTTAATTAATTTAATGAAATTTGTATTTGTATAGTTTGTATTGTTATTCAATCAATTTTAAATATGTTTTGAACGAGTAAGTTTGGGAAGAAAGAGAGAAAGAGATAGCGAGAGAGGGTAATAGTTGCAGTGTGGTGAGTTATGCAAATTGTTTAATATGTCCAAATTTTAAGAATTTCAAGCATATGCGTTACGTTTTAATTTTATAAATATATTTTGGAAATTTGCATGTTTTGCGATGGTGAATATGAATGTGGTCAGTTTAATGGCATGAAAGTTGAATATAGTCAGTTGCGGTGAGTGTGTTGAGTATGGTCTTGCAAAATATGGATGGTGAGATACGGATGATAATGTGAAATGTGTTGTGAAATATGAGTGATATTTCGTGTGTTCGTGGTGAGTATAGATATGCGAAACATGTGCGTTGGAATTGGAAATTAGTGCAGTATTATTTATAGTTTCAGATATGTTGAATATTGGCAGAAGTATTAATTAACGTCGTGTGTGTAGCATTGAAAAATTGTTGGAGCAATATTAAGTGGGAAACATTGACGGAAATAGGATATGTGTATGATATTTAGCCGATTAGAATACCGATTATGGTGGTGGTGAGTTCAGAGAGGTGGGTGTGCATTAAGCGGTCGATACCGTTAGCAGGACACGTCCAAGGTATTTAAGGCAAGGAATGCCAATTAAAAGGAAGCATATAAGCAAAATAATTGGCATAAGTAAGATTAAATATACATATAAAAAAAAGAGAACATAAGAATTTATTGTTCGTGGAAAAGATTCGGAATGCAAAACAACACGATAAAGGACAAGAACCATAACGCCGAACAGAACGTGAACGACACCAGATGAGCCCGACAATTAACATATGGACAAATTACACATCACATAATAATATATATACATATAATATATGTATATGCATATATCATATATAGAGTACGCAGTTGGGTAGTTTGTGAGGTAGTTAAGGCGTGCGGCGTGCGTTATTTGCGATTTGATTTCGTTGTTAGCCAAGTTGTTAGCAAGTATTAGTGGTAAAACAGGCAGTTACGAAGTTACGTAGTACGTAGGAGCGGAGCCAAGGCGTTATTTAGTAGTTAGTGGGTGTTGTGTGTATATATTAGGAAAATCGGGTACGTTTAACAGAAAGAGCGCAAAAAACGGAGAAAGAGAGAGAGAGAGAACAAATCGAGAGAGAGAGAGAGAGAGAGAGAGAGAGAGAGAGCGAGAGAGAAAGGCAAAAGAGAGAAAGAAAAAAGAACACGCATCGATATTGTTGCATTGCATTGAAAGAAAACTCTTACTCGAACAATCTGTCGATGATATCCACTTCTTTTTATCATCCGGATTCAATTGATTCGTATTCTTATTCCGTATGGATCGACCCCAGCCGGCCGTGATCGTGCCAAGGCGCGAGAACGCCCGCTTAACCATCGGCGATGAGGGCACACTTTTGGGTCGTATAGAATCAGAATCCGGTACGGTTAAATAGTTGTTACTTTTCGGCTTTTGATTTTGCGGCGAGACCAGCGACGGCGCTGGCCGTGCAAATATCTCGGCAACGGGTATCTGCGGTGATCCAAAGCCCGTCTGTATGCCATAAAGCATTTCCTATATATAACAAAATTGCCAAAACTAAAAATCAGAACTTTAAATATGACAAAAACTCTTCCCACCTGAAAGACCCGACTGCGCACACCTAATATGGCGCGTACGCCAATGAGGCGCGCCTTCTGCTTGGACTGGCCCACCAAAAAGACCACATCGAATAGATGGGCATTTGTGAGGCACGATGGCTCGTCGTTTAGAAATACACGCGTAAAGTCCTTGGCCAGTTGATCGTAATCCTCGAACTGATCTCGCACCGAATCCAGCAGCGGTGACGATGGTCGCATGTGGCCTATGTAAAGAAAGGAATATGTCAAGAATTACATTACGTATATGTGCGATTTGGAATGATATATTATGTTAGGAATTATGATACGAATTAATGATTAAAGAGTTAGCTTATGACAATTAAGTAACACTTGTATATATTTAGAGAAACATGCAGTTCTTTATTCTGATGTGACTTTGCACATTCAATTTCCAGTACATGTCTTTCTTGAATGTACCTAAGCTAGATGGGAATCAATGATTATCTCAAACTAGGCTGAGCTTATATGAGAGCTACAAATCAAACGATATACCATGGGTATTATCGATTTACTATCGAATTATATCTTTCACATGATTAACATATCATTTGTACATTCAATTTCACGTACATTTCTTTCTTAAATGTACCTAAACTAGATGGGAATCAAACTTGATCGCACAGCTTGAAACAAGAGCGTCTGAGTTGAGTTTATATGAGAGCTACAAATCTATCGATATACCCTGGGACTTATCGATTTACTATCGATTAATGTCTGAGACATGAAATACAAACCATTTTTACATAGAAATTCAAGCATATTTTATTCTTGAATATACCTCGGTAGGAATCCAACTAGATTTCAAAACTTGGAACAGTCTAAGAAGAGTCTAAGTTTAGTTTATATATGAGCTAAACCTATCAATATACTATCTAGTACTATCTTCAATATTCGTACATTACAATATCTCATACAACTAAAATGATTTCCAATTTAAATGTATTCCCTTTGTTCTAACCAGATTATTATTTTCACGTAAATTACACGGTTAATTATGCAGACATGAAGTTCAGACAGTTAAGTCTGGCATAATACAAATTTTCTCTTCTTCACATTTCTGTGGCTTAGCTTTTGTGGCATGTTAACTAGTGTTAATGTGTCGGAAACAGGCCCCTTTCGATGGCAGCTTGGAACCAGCAAAAGACAGCTTTTAAAAGTGGCTTGCATATTTGTGAAATATTCTCACAAACTTGCTACATCGCTCATTTTCGTTGTTGTTGTTGTTGTATATTGCGGTTGGTGGTGCGTGGCAAGTTAGCAAGCATGGTCGACTAGGAGATACCCTGTGGCAAGGTACACGCGATGCTTTGTAGGTTGTCTTGAATATATTATACAACTTTTGAACAAATATGATAATCTATGTTAGCAATATGTCTCAAAGTTGGGTTTCGACTTAAAGGGAACGTGCTCAAAACTCTAGCTACCCATATGCTGATATACCCCATATATAAATCATGATGCCAGTACAGGGTATATGAACCCTTTGGCCTTTGCAGCTGGCATTTGGCTAAGCCGCAGCCACCTTCACCTGCTGCCCAATTGTAGCATAGCCCAAGTCTGCGTCTCTCTGTGTGTGTGTGTGTGTGTGTGTGTGAGGGAGAGAGAGTGTGTGTGTGAGTGTGTATACAATGTGTCCCATCAATCATACACCGCTTGCTTGTATCTTGCGGATACGAAATACTTGCACATCTACATACAAATATGCCTAATGGCAGTTCTCGAGGTCGCAGCGGCCGTATGGAAATCGTGTTAGGATGCATTTGGCAACGGGCACCTTTCATCTTGTGCAGAGGCCCAAAAGCATTGCCATTGGATTCGATTTCAATTCGATTCAATTCGATTCGATTCGATTCAATTGTTTGGTTTGCATGCAATGGTCGAAGTAACGACCTCACCTGCACCTGATATACCCTGAACCCGGTGAAAGGGGCCAACAAGGGGTATGATGTTTTTGTGCAAATGTATGCAACGGTCAGCAGAAAGCAACCAGAATTGGTGATGTCTGTCTGTCAGAGAGATAGATCGAGTTCGAATCGATAATCCAAGCCACGAAATCGATAAATATCGATGTAAGACCTTTTGAACATATCTAAGCTCGCCGTTTGCTATTGGGTAACTTCCAGTCGAGCAATGCCGATTAGTGTACACTTGTTTATTCAATTTTCATTACATGTTTGCAGGTAAATGCTGGTTATTACCAACAAACACAAATACAAAAAGCAACACAAATACAAGTACACGTAAAAATTGCTAGTGTAATCAATGGCAGACTTTATAAGCGGGCTATGCGGCGATTGGCGATTGCCGGCATTGGGTCAGGGGTCTGGGGTCTGGGGTCTGGGGTCAGGGGTCAGGGGTTGGCACTTAAACACAGCTGCGTTTCGATATGGTTACGATATGTAAATATAATATATGTACATGGTATTTTATTAGCCAATTTGTGTTCTCTGTGTGTTGAACGCTATTTTTTGTTGTTGTTGTTGTTGTTTATAATTAAGGTTTACATTCCTATAATTTATTTGCTCTTTTGCCTTTTGCCAACAGAATTCCTGCCCCGGAAACTTGTTGTAGTTATTACAGTTGATGCTAGGCATTCAGAACTTCCGGTAAATTGGCATAGTTAAGGAATTTAATTGAAACTGTCTGAACTGAAAAGGTTTTTGAGAATGCTTTCGAGTTGATAAAGAGAGTGGGAGAGAGGGCAAGAGAGAGAGAGAGAAAGACAGAGACGAGTGGGAGAGAGTTGGCAAGCGAGAGATACACAGAGAGGAGAGAGATTTCTTTGAATCAGCTAAGGTTTATATATACGATATATATAATCTTGAACAGTATCAACCACAGCCAAGTCGATAAAACCTTGTCTATCTGTTTCTCTATAAACTAGTTGCTGAGTTATTTGGCAATGGACTGCACAGATACTTCTATTTTTTACGATATCTAAAACACATTTCAGGAATAGCCAGACTGGATCCATGTTTCATATACCAGACATGGGATGGATTCGACATATCGATTTGGTTCTCCTTAAGAGATAGCTTTCATATTTTGACCCTATAAAGAACATATATTTAATGTGAACTCGAAATAATCATGTCCGACTATCTGTCTCTCGGCTTGGACACAAAGCTCAACCTATCATAAAATGAACTTATATAAAATCAAAGAAACCTTCATGTCTTCTTCAAGATATCTACAATTACGAGACAAATGCTTCTCACATTGCTGCTAGAGTGTAGGCTATATTTTTGTTAGGGTATTTAAGGTTCGGTATGCTGTGCTTGGTTCTTGTTTTTCTTTCGATTTTATATTAAAGCAGCTAATTGAGTTGTCTTCAAGCTGCAGCTAAGGCGGTTTGGGTGGTGTTGGGGGGTGGGGGGTGGGTGGGGTGTCCAGTTTGGGGGTAGTGTGTGGAACTACTCAGCAGGGAGCACACCGCATCCCCAGTGTGGTCACAAAAGCTATCAATCAATAATTTGCATTATTTTAATATGCATAACTAGTTCGAGTGTGCGTTACGCATATTGGTCGCAAGGGGGGGGGGGGGGGCATAGGGGGCAGCAGAGATACTGGACGCCTGGCCCATTGCTGTCAATTGGCTAACACCTACACGGCTGCGGGTGTGCGTGTGTGTGTGTGTGTGTGTGTGTGGATTGTGCCTCTGCTGTGCATGAATAAATCAAATTAGATTTGTCTTGTTTAATGCAACAAATAAATAACAGAAAATCTAAAACAAATCACAACAACAACAACAGCTCCCAATAGGATGGGCAGACAGTAGGCGATGCGGGTGTGTTTGTATGCGTGTGTGTACGTGTACGTGTGTGTGTGTGTGTGTTTGTGTGTGCTCGGATGAGCTAAGACGGAAAAGATTGACCGCAGCAGATAAAATATACAACATTTCATGCCGGACAACTTAAGATACGCGCTAAAACCAGGCCAAACAGCGCCAGAAGAGGGGCAGGTGGATGCGTGTCATGTGTGTGCAAAGGGAGGGGGGGGGGGAGAGTGGGGGTCGGGGTTGGGCAAAGCTATGCTGTGGCAGCAAACAGATTGTGTTGTAAGATTTGTCACAGCATGCCACAGAGGCTGCGCAGCGCAGTCGCGTCGCGTGCAAACGCAGGCGGATGTGTTAATGGCGGAAACGGAAGTGTAAGCGCGCATGTGTGTGTGCGTGTGTGCGTATGTGTGTGTGTGTGTTTGGCATGGCATGCGGAAGTGCTGCAACAACAATGGCAACGGCAAACAGCAGCAACAACATGGCAAAACGATTAATCATGCAGAGTCGAGAGTCAACAAAGTGAAATGCTGCTGCAAATAGCTGTTAAAGCAGCGGCAGCAGCTGCCACGCCCACAAGCAGCCCGCCCATTTAACAGGTGAAACATTTAAATAACTGACTGTGGGTAGGTGTGTGTGTGTGTGTGTGAGAGAGTGTGTGGGTATACACATACTATGCCTCGCACAGAGGTGCATCACAGAGGCACAGCACAAATTGCAGCGAAGTTGTTGTTGTTGTTGTTGTTGCTGTTGCTGTTGCTGTTGGCGTTGATCAGCGTTGTTGTTGCTGTTGTTGTTGTTGTTGTTGCTGTTGTTGTTATGTTTAGTGTGTGTGTGTGTTGTGCCCAGTGCCAGCTGCTGCTGCTGCTGCTGCTGCTGCTGCTCGTTGCAATTACAATAGCAACAGTTGTTCATGTGTTCATGTTGTTGTTGTTGTTGTTGTGATCTGTTGTTGTCTAGTACTCTGGCATGCAACATTTTGAAATATTCATCCTCACCAATGGGCCGCCAGGAGCCGCGTCTATATGGCTTCGGTATTTGACCAGTTTCAGCATGATTCGATAGATTCATCACCAGATCCTCGAGCATCTGTGAGCGCGTCCGCTCCTGCATTCTGGCAAATTTTGGCGCCGAATACGAGGCGCGCTCCCCATTTACAATTTTCGTTAGCAGCCACTCGCTAAACAGAATATGCTCTTTCATATAATCATTTACAATTGGATTAAGCTGCTGTTTAACACTTACCGAAACATTGGCCCCTTCTCAAAGACCGACTGCTCCCATAGGTAGGGCTTGTAGGCGCCCACCTCGTCGCGTGTGACCACGGATACCTCGTAGCGTGTGGGCTTGTGTTTAATGCGCGCTGAGACACGCACCTGTATTTCGATTGCACACAGAAAGAGCGAGAGCAAGAGAGAGAGAGAGAAAAGAGAGATCCCGTCATGTTGGTAAATCGCAATTCTATCACTATGTTCTTTTTTTTCGGTTTCCCTTAACTGTCGGTCGAATTTTTCCATACATAACACAATTAAATTTTGGACTGCGCATTGATCGCTTGTCAATCAATCAGCGTTTGAACCGGCGACCTTTCGCTTCTCAATTCGACGCTTAGACACGCTGAAGCCAAGCGGGCGCATTCCGTCCCTTTGCTAACTCGCGAATAAAGAAAGGAAGCCGCGGCACCAAGTTTAGCTGTGCGTTGATCACATGTCAATCAGTCAGTCAGGACACACTATTTATATTTATAGGATATGGATATAAAATTGTCTGTCCAGACTGACTGACATTCACTGAAGACAGCTCGTGCACATCCGTCAGATTCAAATGTTGGCTTACCAGTATGAAGGTGTGCAGAAAATGGCTCTTAATGCAGGCGGGACTGAAGCGGGTGTTGTCCGCTTCTAGGAATACCACACAGACAATATCGTTGCCGATGTGCCGTTTGCGTTGAAGCTTCTGTGGGTCATGTTTCTCGTAGGGCAGCAGCGTGGACACATGGAACATGATCTCAATGTTGCGCCAGTTCGTATAAACGGAGAACAGACCTGAGCGCCAGATCCATAATATATAATATATATAAATAGTAATAATGTGTGTAACGAGAGAGTTTAAGGTATTTGGGGCTTGTCGAGATGTCTCTCACCTGTGAGGTCATGCACCGTATCAAGGCCACCTTTGTATTTATCGAAGCCGCGTAAGCGAACGCGGTCGCCGAGCAGCGTGAGGAACTCATCGAAGAGCGGTGAATTTTCATTATTGTCCAGAATTTGCTCTTCGCTATATTGTTCCTCTTTGACGAATATGACGCCGACTTTTAATTCGGATTTTATAAAAACCTTCAGTAAAGAAAATTGCCCAATTAGTTGCCACATACTTATGATAATTCCGTTGTTCGCACGCACCTGATCTAATTTTAATAATTCCTCGGGCGTATCGGGCAATTGTCCTAAGGTTAATGGTGGATTTAAATTAACTTCTTTACCTAAAGATCTAACTACCTCCTCGCGATTATATCTACCAAAAAAAAACAAATGAATTTCAGTTTTGTTAAAATGTTGTTTCGGTTACTCTTGGAGTGCATCTTACCTATCGGCAAACACACAGGAGGCGGGTATCAGTCCATGCACCGTGTAGGAACCGGCGCGCACGAGTATACGAAACTGATCCCGTCCATTGAGCGTCTCCTGTTTGATGGAGAGTATAACGGGGCCCAGATCCTCGTCACTTGTAAAATAATTCCAATGCTCAGTGCCATAAAAGTATTTCTCGTACGTCTCCTGCTCCACAGAGATTAGCTCAAAGGCGCCCTGCTGGTCCCATTGCTCCTCAATGGTTGTTTTTTTGCGCGGACTGGGCGTTGCCTCCGAATCCTCATCGTCCTCATAGAGGTCACTGCATTCACGCTCCAAATACGCATCGCTGGCACTCCCAGCGCGTATATCCTCGTGCTCCGAATCGCTCTCATCCCAAATCGTATGCGGCGTGGGCAGCGTTATTTTCTGTCGTGAACACTCTATCCAATAGCCAGGTGTGGGCATCAAATTATGCGGATACTCCTCGCAAAATTCATCTGCAGCGACAAGAACAAGGGCGAAATTTAAATTAATTGAACTCACTTTGCATAATCTGCCGTTCAAAAATATTTGGGGGACAACATTGGCAAATTGGCTTAATTAAAAGCGAGCGATTTGCCACCGATTCTCAGCATAAGACACATTTTTATGTCTGCTTGAGTTGCGTTGAATTTATCAATTTATCAATTTACCAATTTATCAATTTATCTATCTCTATCTCTATCTCTATCTCTATCTCTATCTCTATCTCTATCGCGAGCGCGAGCGCGAGCGAGCGCGAGCGCGAGCGCGAGCGCGAGCGCGAGCGCGAGCGCGAGCGCGAGCGCGAGCGAGCGCGAGCGCGAGCGCGAGCGCTAGCGCTAGCGCGAGCGCGAGCGCGAGCGCGAGCGCGGAGCGCGAGCGCGAGCGCGAGCGCGAGCGCGAGCGCGAGCGCGAGCGCGAGCGTGAGCGCGAGCGCGAGCGCGAGCGCGAGCGCGAGCGCGAGCGCGAGCGCGAGCGCGAGCGCGAGCGCGAGCGCGAGCGCGAGCGCGAGGCGAGCGCGAGCGCGAGGCGAGCGCGAGCGCGAGAGCGAGCGAGAGCGCGAGCGCGAGCGCGAGCGCGAGCGCGAGCGCGAGCGCGAGCGCGAGCGCGAGCGCGCGCGAGCGCGAGGCGAGCGCGAGCGGAGCGCGAGCGCGAGCGCGAGCGCGAGCGCGAGCGCGAGCGCGACGCGAGCGCGAGCGCGAGCGCGAGCGCGAGCGCGAGCGCTAGCGCAGCGCGCTAGCGCGAGCGCGAGCGCGAGCGCAGCGAGCTCGAGCGCGAGCGCGAGCGCGAGCTCTCTATCTCTATCTCTATCTCTATCTCTATCTCTATCTCTATCTCTATCTCTATCTCTATCTCTATCTCTATCTCTATCTCTATCTCTATCTCTATCTCTATCTCTATCTCTATCTCTATCTCTATCTCTATCTCTATCTCTATCTCTATCTCTATCTCTATCTCTATCTCTATCTCTATCTCTATCTCTATCTCTATCTCTATCTCTATCTCTCTATCTCTATCTCTATCTATCTCTATCTCTATCTCTATCTCTATCTCTATCTCTATCTCTATCTCTATCTCTATCTCTATCTCTATCTCTATCTCTATCTCTATCTCTATCTCTATCTCTATCTCTATCTCTATCTATCTCTATCTCTATCTCTATCTCTATCTCTATCTCTATCTCTATCTCTAGCTCTATCTCTATCTCTATCTCTATCTCTATCTCTATCTCTATCTCTATCTCTATCTCTATCTCTATCTCTATCTCTATCTCTATCTCTATCTCTATCTCATCTCTATCTCTATCTCTATCTCTATCTCTATCTCTATCTCTATCTCTATCTCTATCTCTATCTCTATCTCTATCTCTATCTCTATCTCTATCTCTATCTCTATCTCTATCTCTATCTTCTCTATCTCTATCTCTATCTCTATCTCTATCTCTATCTCTATCTCTATCTCTATCTCTATCTCTATCTCTATCTCTATCTCTATCTCTATCTCTATCTCTATCTCTATCTCTATCTCTATCTCTATCTCTATCTCTATCTCTATCTCTATCTCTATCTCTATCTCTTCTCTATCTCTATCTCTATCTCTATCTCTATCTCTATCTCTATCTCTATCTCTATCTCTATCTCTATCTCTGTCTCTGTCTCTATCTCTATCTCTATCTCTATCTCTATCTCTATCTCTATCTCTATTTCTATCTCTATCTCTATCTCTATCTCTATCTCTATCTCTATTTGTATCTCTATATTTACATCTTGAAGGACAGCTACTTTATTTAGGTTCTAGTTGAATAGTTCAACTAATACCCTGTGCTTCCCACATTGCCAACATTACTATGCAGTTTATACTTCAGTTGAGCATTGTTAAATATGTACACTAATTGGACACATCCTATCATTCATATCTTACAATTGTTGGCACAAGCTGTGAAACTCAGTCGAATGCGCCCGCCTCCCGACCATTGTAATGCCAACTCACCTAAGACCCATCAGTGCCAATTTCAAGTAGGAGCAAAACCGATTAAGGCATAGCCTTCAAATGCTGGCATAGTCCTAACAATGATTGCAGTTGCCTTTGTTTTGGTTGTTGCCCTGATTTGGTCTGCCGCCTCCGCCTTTGCCCCTTGCCCTGACAGACAACAGATGAGTGAAGCCATCTCGAAATGCCACATTAAGTGCAATCGATATGTGTAACTGTAACTGCAACTGCAACTGTTACTTTACTGCAGTTGTATTGTTTAGAGGTAGGTCAAGCAAGTGCTTGGATTAATAATCCGACTGCCTTTGTAGTCATTAGACTCAAAGATATTTCGTAGAGATTTATTTGCAATTTTTGTGTGTTTAATCAGCTTTGTTGTGCGTAAAATATTAACCAACTGGAAACTTGTTTAAGTCTCTCAAGTACTCAAACATCTGCATGTCCAATTAGTCTACTCGTAAAGTTTGTTAGCATTTATTGAAAATTAAATATTGATTTTAGCCAGAGAATTTTTAAGTATGTTCTAGTAACTGAATTTATAAAATGTTGGTTGGTTGGCATTGAACATATTACAATAATTATTCAACTACGTTTGGTCACTAACCAAACAACATATACTTAGATAGGACATGCAGTACAACCAGAGAGGACACACAAAAATCGGCGACATCTGGTCCAAAATCGCGAGCAAGAGAGTAAGATATACATATGATGCTTTGGCTTGCTCTCTTCCATATAATATGTGCGATGGAACGGCATCGCTGTTTGTTTTTTATCTCGCTCCCACTTACTCTCAATCCTCTCAATGCTCTCTCTTTACGTTTAGGGATCCTTTAAATGCGCAGATATTCAATTGTTCTTAAAAGTTGGTGGCATTTCTTTCCTTTTGAAGGGACGGTTTGCCACGTCGATGCGAAATTCTAGCATTTTTGATCGTTATCGTGAAAAGTTTTTGGACTTACTATTCACGCATAATTGCATATTTTGTATATGAATAGAAGAATTTATGGGCTTGTGTGCCTGTTGGTTGTCTGCCTGTCTATTCGTTGAAAATTTGACAAGATTTGAAGTTTTTGTGAGTTCTGATCTTTCGAGCTCAACACACAGACACTTGCCTTTTAGCGTTGTGGAAAGTGATCATCATGCAAAATACTGCATGCTTTTAAATTACATGGAATGCAGAGACAATATATACTTGACTTTGCTTGGGTTTTTCACATTGCAATAAAAGTAAAGGAAAATAACTTAGTTTGTTTCTGACAGTTGAAATCCTAAAAAGTTCTTGTTACGTGCGGTTTCTGTGGCAAGTTGTTGGCTTTGCCAGTTGAAATGGCAGCCAAATTGCTATAAACATAATAATTTAGTGCAATTCAATTAAAATGCAAACACCGCAAAGGCAGCAAATGGTTTACGGCAAGGTGAGCTGAGGCAGCAAGAGCAGCTGCCTCATGAGCCGTAAATGGCGCAAAGATTCAACCACTGATTGAGCTGGAAATTTGATGTGGCTGCCCAATTTGGCTGCGTTCTATGGCGGTAGCTGGGAATTTGATAGACCAGCTCTGTTGGCAGCCTGTGCATAATGTGGCAAGATATGTGAGGCAGGTTGCGAGTTCTTGCCAATAAAATGCTGTGTGGCAGCAACTATGATCTAATTAAGGCTCGCGCTTACCGCAGCATCTAGCAAATGGCATGTGGCATGTGGCAAGTAGCATGTCGCAAGTAGCATGTAGCATGTGTCGTTGCTGTTGCATACTTTTAAGAGTAAGGCGCACAGCTGCTGCCCAAGCGTTGGACGAGGGCCTATATAGCTAAACACACACACACACACACACACAGGGCATAAATGCACACACACACCCACACACACACACACATACATATATATATCTATATATATATATGTATAAACACTCTCACACAGATACAGCCATAAAACAACAACATGTTGTGGCCGCAGAACCTGCTGCCGGAGACGGAAACGTTCGCTGTTTCAGGGCTTGCTGTTGCCTAATTCAAATTTGAAAAGCTCGCAACGTGCGCCGCTAAGTAGGCTATGAATTTGGTTACTGTTGACGCGGCTGCTGCTGCTCTCTTTGTTGTTGTTGCTGCCTGTTTTGCGGTTGTGCCGGGCGCTTCTGCCTCTTACCCAAAGCCACAAACGCGTTTCGAAAGCGCAACCATTTTCCAAACTAGAAAGGCTTATTTTAAGCCCATTTAGTAACTAGCAAACTATTTGCAAACAAGCCTGTTGTGGATGAGAGACTGATTGGCCATCAGATACCCTTTGGCACACCTCTTGGTGGCGAATAAGTAGAGGATTCTTTTCATGCATCCGAACTACCATAAAATAGGGTATGCAGGCTACAGGGTATTTGATGTGGCCTGCGTTAGCAACGTTCTGGTTTAACCACTGCTGACTGTGCATGGGTCGGGCCTGGTACTTTTCTCTGTGCAGGCTTACCCAAAATATTTGATCAAAATTGGTTACACAACGGCAATACCGGCCCTTCACCTGGCCCCAGTGCCATTCATTTGTATTTTTAGGCTGCGCCATTATGAGCTTTTCAGGTGAATTGGATTTACCAAAAAAAAAAAAAAAAAAAAAAAAAAATGCATGATTATGCAATGGCACACCCCTTGTCCGCTGTTAGAAATAAAAATCCTCTTTGGATTTCCATTCGAAGCTGACTGAAGGATTGCAGCTGCAGTTACCTTACAGCAGGACGAGCAACGAGAGAGAGAGAGAGAGAGAGAGAGAGAGAGAGAGAGAGAGAGTAGGGGAATGGGAGATGGAAATAAAGTTGGGGAAGTTTGAACAGAAAAATGTCCAAAGCTATTCCAAAGTTTATTCCTTACTTATTTTCGCTTTGAAAGTAATTCGATATGATCCATTTCCAATAGACTAGATATGGCCCGAGAAGCGGGCGGGGGGCGGTTCATGATATATAGCCATTCCGTTTATATCTTAAGCTCGATGCAGGGCAATAGACAAATCTCTGGGCCGGCATTTCATTTGCCATTTGCTCGGCTGTCTGTCAGCGTTGACACTTTTGCGCCGCAATTCGGCTGTGTCCCACTTCTAGCCCCCAAACCACCCGCTGACCGCACGCCGTAAAATGTCGAGCATTAAACCAATTGGCCATTATGCCACGCTCTGTTGCCCCCAAACCGAAGCTGGACTGAGTTTATGGGTACGTCCATCAATCATATGTCTAAAAGTGATGCGCGCCACGTGTTGGCAGCCCAACGATTTCCGATGACGATGGCGATGACGATGTCCCCGGGGAAGCGGCCACAAGTTATCACCCACAAAAGTTATCGAACACTCTAATGTATGGGCCACATCGATGGGCCGCACTCAATTTGCATTGGCGTCAGTTCCTAATGCGTTTTGCGTTTGCCTACAAAAGGGATAAAACCGCAAATTGAATCTCTAAAGTGCGACCAGCCCCCCTCAATGTGTGTGCGTGCATATAATGCTGAATAAACTTTAATGCAGAATTAGGGAATTACATCTACCCCAGGCCGACGAGTTTAGAAGGGCACGAGTTTCTAATGCCCCAACAGTTTCAGAGTCAACAGTCAACAGAGTTTTTAATGCACAGCGAGAAGCAGCTATATTCTGAGCGATAAGTTATGATTAGGGTAAGAATAGTCGACCATATTCCTTTTTCTTTACACTCTGTTTCTCCCTTTACTTCACTTTTGGGCATTAGCTTCGCGTTTCAGCTGAGCTCTTGTTATAGCTGTCGCTTCTCGCTTTATTTATAGCTGAGTTCTAGTTTTGGCTTTTGCTTCTTAGATTGCACTTTTTGCTTCTACTTATTTCTTTTTGCAGCTTTAGCTTTTCGCTAAGCTATCGATTATCTTTTGCCTTTTAGCTCTCATATCTATTCATATGCTTTTTTGTGTATTACTTGACTTCACAGTTCGCTTCTCCCTTCAGCAGCTGTTAAGCGTTTGTGTTTTCAATTCGTTTCTCGCTAATGTTTCGCTTTTTGCACCTTTTTGACTTGACTTACACTTCTGCTACTTTACAAATTTATTTGATGCAATTCAATTTGTCGCTTCTCGCTTGACTTTTCATTCAAGGCGCTTTTTTCGTTGCAGCTTATTTATTTATTTGCTTTTCGCTTCTCGCGGTTTTTATTTTCAAACTTGAGTTCTTTCTTTACTTTTAATTGGTTTCTCGCTGTCGCTTAAACTTCTAGAGAAGCTGACAGCTTTTAGTTTAAGTTTACTTCTTGTTTCACTTCCTGCTTCTTACTTCGCTGTCCGCCTAGATCTAGTCAGCTTTTCTTTGGCTGATAACCGCATACAATTGTAGACTTCAATCAATATCCCATTGCTAAAACCTTCAAAATAGGTTTATTGTCGGCTACGACTGGCTCTACTCAACAGAGCTCATTTTCATTTTAGATCTTGTGATGTTCGGGTCGAAAACTAAAATTTAGAAACCATACAAACCGAAGAGAAATTTTATTTCAATAGAAAAAACGAAAATAAAACAAAAAATGGTTTTAAAGCAAACACAACTTCGATAATGTCTTGGGTAAGTTGGTCCAATTGTCATAGATATTCAATGACATCTTTTTCTCTGAAGGACAACTACAGAGTTCGAGCACATTGAAGACGTTAGGGTTTTAATGCAAAATTCATAGAACGGCATCGACACAATTGGCAAGTTACTTATACACTATACAAAATGTTTACTTGTTCTGGTTAATGATTGACTATGATTGACTATGATTGACTACGATTGATTACGATTGATTCCAATTGATCATCTGGGGGCATAATGCATAATATGCCAAGGGAGGCTTTTCAACTTGTGAGTATGCTCCACAAATATTGAAGTGGAAATACCCTTAACTAACAGCCCTGATATTTTTGCAGTGAGTGTTGAATAACGTTGAAATGTTGAACGAATTTCTTTTCAAGCTTTTTCGTTTGATTCCAATGTATTGTTAAATAAAATGCAATGGAAATGTAAATAAAAAAATCAAAAAAAAAATGAAAAAACTAAATAGCCAAAATAATGCTTTATCTCTTGAAATGTGGGCCCCATGCAGAAGGCGCAAGTTTCGCTTGCGAAACATTTTATGCCAGCTTCTGTAGCGCTGCGGGCGTCTCAATTCGGGCGATGCCTGTGGCAAGCGCGTTACGTATACGCCGCATGGGTCGCACTGATAGCTGTTTATCAATCACACATTCGATCAACTGTTATTAACATACGTGAAATGCAGTTGCGGTAAGTGGCATGTGGCATGTGGGGCTGTGGCAACTTGCAAGTGACAGGTGAGTACGAAAACGTGACTCGGACTCCCCCTGCTCCTTCCGAGACTCGTCAATGCCAAATTCCATTTGTTATTTTTATATATTTAAATTTTAGTCGGGGCTTAGCTTCTAAATTAATTTGCCATTTGAATAACTCTTCATGACAGTTATAAATCTGTCAAAATTAATTTGTTTAGTTTTTGACTCTTGATAATTAGCTGGAATACCTTTTTTTAGACCTCAATATGGAGATTGAAGGAAAGTGAACGCATGCGTCCTGAATCCTTTCTGAATCGCTCTTGATACCAATATGGTGGCACTTTAATTTAATTGAATTATGGTATTTATAATTCGTGAATAAAACATTTATTTCAAACAAATACATATAATACATATATGCACAGATTTTTGTGGCATGCTGCATGTGAAATTTGGATTTGGGTTTCTTTTAAAAATCTGTTTTATGTAATTTTGTCTATTCAGATTCGCAGAAATCTACACGAGAGCATTATGTGGCAATCTTTTGGGGCACTCGCTGTTTGCGACGCCATTCAAAGGATTTCCGCTTGCGCAACGGGAGGGTGCATGTGGTGGTAGGCGTGGCTGCCACGCAGCTTTGGCTGCGGCTATGGCTGTGGCTGTGGGCATGATGCTTCTGTTGTTGGTCGCGTTTTTGTCGGTTTGATGGCCGCAATGCTGCCTTTGTGAGCAGCCCCTGCAAAACAATGCAAAGCAGCTGACAACAACACGCACTTAACATGGCTAACAACTGCAAGAACAACAAGCGGCAGCTGCCACATAATGTTGCCACGTTGCAATGGCACGCCCTGCCCTGCCATGCACACATTGGCATTCAATGTGACCTTAGAGTGCTGAAACAGGTGCTTCTCTCAATGGGGAAATGACACAATGAACTGCGGAATGCATGCAACACAATGTTGTAAGTGCAACTAGTAGTTACCTTTTATGACGTAACCCAATACTTAGATCCCCTTCAGCAAATGCTTTGCGAACAGGTCAAATAGTCAAAGTTTATTTTCTATCCAGAGCTCGCTGAACCAAGACTGGTCACTGTTTTTAAGATATTCTGATTAAAGCCTGGATTGGATGAAGAATAGCCGAATCTTAGCCAAAATTAATATGGTAAGCGGTTCGGCTTATGATGCGAACCAACATGGCTCTCCTTGGGGCTGTTTTAATGAAAATATTATATTTTCTATGTCTATATTTCCAAATAGAATTTTTGGTTTGATTGTCGTCTACCAAAAAGTATATAGCTAAACGCACTAGTTTGAATTGTTTTCTTTTTGGTAAGATATGATAGTGGTGTCTTACAGTTTGACAGCCATTAGCTTGGAGTTTACAGTTTGAGAGTAACCAAGCTCACACACACACACACACACACAGAGTAGTGTCAAGTTTGTGCAGCTTTAAATGACACGCAATGTTTCAACTTGTTTTAAGTTCTTGTAAGTTTACACAAGTTGGAAACTGTTTAAGAAAAACTTGATTAAAAATCTTTTTTCATTTTGCAAGCATGCACAAGTGTTCCGATTCCGCGTGTTCCTGCATTGCAACAGTGCTTGTTGATTGAATTCTTTGGCCTCCATTCAATAAATCTTGAATAATTGTTAGACATGTTTGATTTCGGGTTTGATTTGCTGTTGCCGTTTTTTTTATTATTATTATTTTCTTTTTTTTTTTTTTTTTGGTGGTTTCAGCTTTCTCGAGTTGGGTTCTATCGCGACGGGGCCATCAACTTTGTTCATTGCATGAGAATTAAGTGCCACAATCCTCGTCATTGTCATTTTACAAGGTGTGGGGGAAGGGGGGATTGCTGGGCTGTTCCCAAAGCCCAGCGACAAGTCAAGAAGCACATTTGACTTTTTTATCTTTGCCTTCTATTTGAATTTGTTGCGCATCGTTTCGCATTTCGTTTGCTTTTCACTTTTTATATATGTATATATTTTATTTTTTTGTTGTTGTCGTTTGTTCTTTATTGTTGGGAAGGGGGCGTGATTTTTAGCGCGTTTTTTTTTTTTTTTTTGCAGTTTTTGTTCGCATTGATGTTGCCTCCTCCGGCAAACGCCGGTCGCTCCCTGGCCCTTGGGCTGAATATATGTCTGCCTTTTGGTTTATTTGTTCTCTTGATGCTCGTTCAGCCTAAATGGAGGACACTTGAGGCATCATTAACGATGTCAATGCCGACAATAAGGTCAGCAAATAAACATTATAAACATTAGCATGAAAATACAAAGTGCCCACGGCATGGTCAAGAGGGGGACAGGGCGTGCCCAATCCACCCCTCAATTCTCTCGCCCCAAAATGTACTTTCTATATTCCGGTTTTATTTGCATTTGATGGTTGATTGCTAATTGCCTGGCGAGGGGGGTTTAGCCCAAATGGATATTGAATTGAAGTAGCAAGTGCCTTTTTACTTTACACTAGCAACGCATTGCTAGGCTTTCCCGACGACACCATTCCCCCTGCTCGCTGCCATGCTCTGACACCAGCCAGGCACATGGTAAAAACGTCAGATGCTCTGGCATTTCCCTTTTAACCGCGCAATGTGTCGCCAAATGCTGGTGCTTGTTATCAAAGTTGTATACCCAACCACCATGCAAAAGCGAGTAGTCGAGTGAGACAACAATAGGCGAGCAGAACGACAATCCAATTGATAAAGCGCATAGAAATCAAACACCACCAAAAATCCATTGGAAACTTGGGCTCAAAACTGGTCGCACTTTCAATACCTTTTCTTAAATAAACAATCTAACAGAAAGCATTGTACACATGTCAGCAAAATTCACTGAAACGTGTGGAATTGAAATTTTTTCGCCAGCTAAAAACGTATGGAATTGATAATTGTGCGCAAAATTTCGATTTATTTAAGACAAAACCGTCTAGAACTAAAGTGGAATTAGGAATTGGAAGTGAGATGCAAAAGAGATATCCAAAAAGATATCAATTCCACTTGTTCCTAGTCGAACAGGAACTAACGGAATTGGGTAGTTTTAGTCTTTGGGTAGTTCCAGCCAACGAAACAACGGAACGCCCTAACCATGATAATTGCAAGTGGAACCTAAATCTCTTTGGACAAGCTAAGTACTTGATTACATTAGAAGGGAAACCAGAGCTGAAATTCTGTTGTTGTCGCTGCATAATAATTGATAGAATACAAAGTACTTCAAAGCGAATAATTTCGCTGGCGTTTCGCACTTGAAAACGCTTTGGATCGGAAATGGTTTTGCATAGCGATATAAAAACGAGCGCTTGAAAAAATATCAACAAAAAAAAAAAAAAAAAAAAAAAATAGAGAGAAAAAAAGAAATGGGGAAAAGAAAACCCTCAAAAGTCGATGACAAAGTTGTGATAACCTTTTAGAAATAGGGCAACAGAGGCAAGGCTCCGAATACAAAAGGAAAACGTAAAAAAGCGGAACGAAAAGCGTTTTTCAATTTCCAGCAGCAACGTGACCGAGTTTTCCACGTGCGATTCGATGCTAGCGAACAACTGAGTGTTTCGAGTGGGTGTGAGTGAGTGGGTCAGTGAATGAGTGTGTAAGCATGTGAGTGTGCGTGAGTGTATGTGTGTGTGTGTGTGTGTGTGTGAGTGTGGTTGAACGCATTTAGATGATCGCATTAACAGCATTTCCATCTATGCATTTTATTTCAATTCACTTCACTTGCCATTAAACACTTTTTTCTCTTCTCCTTTTTTCTTTGCACTTTTTCACATGCCGCTGTCCATTTTTGATTGGTTTCACTGTAGCCTGGCATATATATACTTATATATATATATATATATGTATGATTTACGGTCGGACCTTGGGCCGTCGCACTCACTGTAAGAAGTAACACCAAGCGGTTGAGAGGACGCTCTGATGATTACATTTTACAGCGGGCGTGACGTCATTTCAGCTTGTGACGTGTTGCACGTGTGTGTGTGTGTGTGTAAGTGTGTGTGTGTGTGTGTGTGTGTGTGTGTGGCATGTGCCCTCTGTCAGTTGCATGCCCCAGCCCTAATCATTAAGATTAAAAACTTAAAAGTAAATTTGCGATAGAAATCTGTACAAAGGCAAAACACAGAGAAGAGCCGCAAATAAAAAAAAAAAATGCTGCTCATCTACGCGTAAGCACGAAATTTCTTTATTATTAATTTGAGAACCTGCAAAAAATGAACAAAATAATGCCAGATAATAAAAGCGACAGAGATTAAAGCGCCAAAAAATCAAATAAGAGACAACGACACAAGACCATAAAATGAACAACAAAAAAAAAAAAAAACAAAAAATTAAGAAGCGAAACAACAATTTAAATTTGAAGCGGATTTAAAACTTGGCTGCAACTCGGTTCCACAATGTCAGGAGCAGCAGGACAAGGGGTTACAGCTACAGCGAGTTCGCGATAAGGCAGTCAAAAGTCTGCTTGCGGGTGGGGGAGGGGGGGGGGTCGGTTAGTGGGTTGGGGGTTGGGTCGAGCATTTGGGGCCACGCTGGACTCTTAACTGGCTGTTGGCGGTCAGGTCCGGCATGCATTTGCATAAATGTCAACTAATTTTGTTGCCAACGCTGTTTGCGCTGTTTAATCAAAATGATGATAATGCTGACTACCAGCTCAACACACACCTGCACGCGCACACCCCCACACACTCACTCACACACACACACACGCAATCTGCTGTCCAGGGGCACTTCAAAGCTAACAGACGAAGCGGCAAGGTTTG